CACCCTCAGTACGTGATAATTATTTCTTGTTTTGATCATTTTTTACACAGACTGAAACATGTTATAATATTAAATAAAGGGGCTTATTTTCTCTTCCCCATGATCCTGCACATCTGAATATTTTACAGTCGGAATAATGAAGTTATAGCCACTTATTTACACCAACAGTACACAGGATATATGTATGACATTTCTATGTTATTGTATGACGTTTCTGTACTTTGGAAGTGTGAAATCTTTGTTGATAGATTTTGGGTGCTCACAAATATTTCCTTTTTGCTCATGTTTGAGTTTCTATATTGAAAGTGACGGAGTTTGGGCCTTTACCATGTGTGAACAGACCTGTAGTGTTGACAAAGAAAGAAGCTAAATTCTTTGATCATGTGTGTTTCTGAAAGACAGCTGTGTCCAGTGTTCGGAGAAAGAGCCTGAGAACTCTGTGAACTGATGAGAAATGTTCCAAATGATTTGACGACGACCTGTGCCCTTGTTTAGAGACACGTTTGCATCAAATGATCAAACTAAAGCAAGACTGAAAAAAATGGCCTAAAACAATTGAAAAAACTGTAACAAACAAATCCTCCATATTTAGGCTGAGAAACTGACACAGACTGAAAACACTCTGTTCCTCCTTGTGATGTCATACTGTGTTTTTAAACTTCATACACCTTTATGTGGATAATTTCAACTCCAGAATTGCCCATTTCTACTGAGCTAAAGGTAAAGGTGTATCCCTGGTTATAGAGGGCTGTATCCGTGGTTACAGAGGGCTGTATCTCTGGTTACAGGGGGCTGTATCCCTGGGTTACAGAGGGCTGTATCCCTGGTTACAGGGGGCTGTATCCCTGGTTATAGAGGGCTGTATCCCTGGTTATAGAGGGCTGTATCTCTGGTTACAGGGGGCTGTATCCCTGGTTATAGAGGGCTGTATCTCTGGTTACAGGGGGCTGTATCCCTGGTTATAGGGGGCTGTATCCCTGGTTACAGAGGGCTGTATCCCTGGTTACAGGGGGCTGTATCCCTGGTTATAGAGGGCTGTATCTCTGGTTACAGAGGGCTGTATCCCTGGTTACAGGGGGCTGTATCCCTGGTTATAGAGGGCTGTATCTCTGGTTACAGAGGGCTGTATCCCTGGTTACAGGGGGCTGCATCCCTGGTTATAGAGGGCTGTATCTCTGGTTACAGAGGGCTGTATCCCTGGTTACAGGGGGCTGTATCCCTGGTTACAGAGGGCTGTATCTCTGAGCTCTTGTACAGTGAGTGCTGATGCAGCAGAGACACTGTTATCTCCACTCCGCTACTCCTCACTTTAATCACGATGAATGTCTCTCACTCCGGCTCCGCAGAAACACACCCACACCAGAGTGCGCACTGGCCTGATCAGGCTCTGCAGACGGTTTAAAGCTGCATTATGTAACTTTACTGCACCTTGCTTGCCTCCAGGGAGATGTTATTGCCTTGAATGTTGCCCAGTATGGCATTTAAGTTACCTCTCCATGGAGACAAGCATGTGATTATTGCTGGTTTTCAGATTCTTGAATGTGATCTTGTCTTCCACAGATGGGGGAAGGGACAGATTTCCCTTTTCATTTCATTGTACTCTCTTATGAAATATACAAACGGTCAATTCACAAATGTTGAACCTGATCATTTCTGTTACTGACTAGACCCAAGAACTCACAACTCAGATATTACAACAAAAATCAGCATTTTACTATATTAATTGCCAATGCCCAATAGAATACTGTATCGAAAAAAAATTACATTCACAGAACAAAAATGAACTTGATTTTGAGCTGACATTCATATTCTAATTTGGAATCAGTATTGAATATCGAGTCTATTCCTTAGTATCAAAGTCGAGTTGAAAGTCAGATCTGTGGAGATACCGTGAAGAATTCAACACAAAACACAAACATCTCAACAGAAACACCAGAAACGAAAAGTTATGCAAAATTTTGAATACCCCTCACACAGTATTCCCACAAAAAACCTTCATAAAAATCTTAACTCATTACCAAAAATCAAGATAAAAGTTTTATTTCATTCTTTGCCGTAGGACATTTTTGTTGTCTAAACTTTTTAAAGAGGCAGGAAAAGTTTTATCAAAGCCAAGTCTACACTTCACCACATGAGCCCTTGAACTACAGGAGACTATGATTGTCTGAGGCACCGGTCACAACAACAATCACAAAGTTTAACATGAAAAACTAGAGAAGCCATTTACACTGCAGAGGAGGACGTCCATGCTGCTCCCATAGGATTGCATAGCTCTTATCTGTGTGGCCCTTTTGTGCTTTGAAAAGGTTAATAGGTTGCGTTCACGATATTCATTTTGGCGTTATAATTTCAGATGGAGGACAGTGGTTAGGAATACACATACTTCTTCAATACATCACAAAAAAAAAAAATAGATAGAATCTGGTCAGCGGTGGATCTCCTAGCATTCAATGGGTGTGATTGACAGGTGGATTATCCAAAAAAGGACAAGCATGGTCTGTCTGAAACTGAAAACAGAGCTCAACAGTGGCAACCCGCCCCTGCACCCGTAAATATAAATATAGCAGTAAATTTCCCATTCATTTTTCCTCTAGGTCAGGGTTGTCAAACTCATTTAGGTCCGGGGGCCGTATCCAACCGACTTTGATCCCAAAGGGGCCGGATCAGAAAACTCATGTCATATAAACCCCAAAAATAAAAATAAGTTCAAATATTTGTGCAGAGAAACACAAATCTAAAAGAAATCTAGAAATCTTTTTTAATTGATGAACTCTTTCTTTTACAAAATATTATAATATTATGAACAAACTGAAACTTTAAGAAAATTGCAATTTTAACACGAACTTGCGTGCAAATAGGAATAAGTAAATTTTTCTTGGAAAATCCTGCACTTGGCGTCCACTTTTCTCATTTTTGACATTTTGTTGATGAGGGTGTTGCGGTCAACAGTTAAAATGATCGTCCTTTAAGAGCGTTTGGAAAGAGACAAGTCTTTATTTGTGCTGCTCTGGTGGGAGGGGCCACGTACAGAGGCTCTGGAGATGCTGCTATGATAAGCACCGCAGAAAATTATCAATATTTTAATAGAAAATAGAATTAAAATATTTTATTAGAAAATCAGCCGAGGGCCAGATTAAAGGTCTTGGAGGGCCGGATCTGGACCCCGGGCCATATGTTTGACACTCCTGCTCTAGACTTTCTGAATAAAAATAATATTAAAACTTTGAAATCTCAGGATATTATCAGCTACTTGGTAACTAATAACCACAAGATGTATAATTTTATTCCAAATCTGTTTCTAAAACATTATAAACTGAAAAGTTATTAAACATTTTCTTGAATCTTGTGTTTTAAACATGCTTTTTGGACTTAAAACAACAGCGTTTATGGATAATATTTAGCACGTAGTTGGTTAACCTCTGTGATGTCAGATTTTTCAAAAGTCCAAGAGAAAAAATTGATGGAAAATTTACTTCCAGAACCGACTTCAAAAGGGGGTGGGACTGCTGTGTTCAATATGGGGACAATGAAAGGAAAAAAATATCATAGGGGACTGAAAAATGAAAATGAGAGAATGAATGAATTTCTGAAAAATCAGTGAGCAAAGTGCTAAACTCTGTTACCGTAAATTCCAGACTATAAGCCGCTACTTTTTTCTCACACTTTGAACCCTGCGGCTAATAAAACGATGCGGCGAATATATGGACGAATTCTTTGTTTGGCACATTGTCCATTCATAAATACGGTCTATGGTTTGGCAACACAGCGGATACTAGCTCACGATATTGTTCAGTGTACTCAAATAGTTTATTGTCATGTGATATAATAAGTTATGACGCTAAATGAACATTAGTGAGGGGGATACGTCTTACCTGTGTGTGTAAATGATGAAAAGAAACATCTCAAACTTCAGTAGCCGGACATCCACTCATCCACTAAACCAGCTCCTGAGAGAGTCTGAAATCTGCTGAAATCCTCCAAAACACTGACACGATACAGACAGAACAGAGACTCTTTCTGCAGGAGACATGCGTGGGGGGAGAGTTTGGGTGATTCGCTGAAGAAGATGCTCATTTGATTGTGTTTTGAACAGTTATTTTGCGCTTTATACACACCCTCCTCATGGAAAACAACAAAGAAATGCAGACAATGCCGCTTTTAAGTTAAAGGTGATTGATGTGACTGTGGAAGAAAGAGTTCGGCATCAATGAGTCGATGGTGAAATTTTGGCGACAGCAACGTGACAAACTGACTCAACGCAAAAAGACAAAAAGATCTTTCAGAAGCGATAAAAGCAGACGGCCCGAACTTGAAAACATCCTTGAAGACATGGACACCTTTATATGTACAACTTAAAAATTTTGTTAAAATGTAGTTGATGCGGCTTATATTCAGGTGCGCTCATTAGTCCGGATTTTACGGTAATCTAAGGTGACAGAAATCTGAAATTATTCCATATGTAGAGTGACCAATGAGCTCCTTCGTTTCACATGCGTCACTGAACAAATAAAATAAACAAATCTGATTGGACGATTGTGTTTGAGCCTGACTTGAGACTTGACGGAGGGCGTGATGACCAGACTGAAATCCCTTTGTACAAAAAAAAATAAACATCAGACATCGCTGTGGACTTGTGAGGCAAATACACTTTAGCTGTCCCCCATCTGTATTAAAATTTACTGGCCTAACAAACTTTTTTTTATGAATGAATCCTTTCGCCTGTTTTCATTTAGATCTTTAACTTTGTGTCAGTTTTTGTTTCATGTGGACAGGCCCAGTCATTACAGAAATATTAAACCATAAACCAGGTCAACAAATCTACAATCTGACAAATAAAAAAAGCTAATTTCTCAATGCTGACCTGTCCTCCAACTCAGTTTTGACCCACGTTCTTTCATATATTACCACGTCACATGAACGCAACCTATTGTATCATAGTAAGGGGTTTTCTGTCAAGCACTAAACTCAGAAAATCCCAAATAAAGTCCATTTTTGCTGCCTTGTCTTGTCCATATCAGTTTTACAAAGAGGTCCCAAAGTCTTCGAACTTCAACAGATTAGCCCCATGGAGTTTTATCAGGTTTAAAGAGGTCCATTTTGTAAAGTTTTTAGTGTTTTTGAAGAGAATATTTCATGCACAAATGTCTGTTTCTCTCCCTGTGTGCTTTGCGGAGGCTCTCTGCAGAGTTCGGGACAGGCACTGCTGGGTCCGAGCAGGATCCTCTCAGATTCGTATGTGGAAGTTACTGTGGACACAAAAAACAAAATAATGTGTAAAACGTTTTGTTAATTCAAGGACAAATGAATTAAATCACTCAAGACTCAGACTAACAGACTTATTGAGTGCGTATACATGCACATCAGTATCCTGGTTATTAGCCATATCCCGGTTATGTCAGTATTCGGGTTACTGTGTTTACATGCGCACTGAGAAATCGGGATACTCATATCCGCGTATACATGATCAAATGGAGTATCCCGGTTTCTTGACATAATCTTACAAATGCGCAGGCGCAAAAATTAACTGAAATCTATTTCATAAACCAGGAAAAATACAAATCATGAGCTCCTTTAGCATAAGAAGCTAAGGAGCTACGAGATATCCCACAATCCACTGCACACATCAAACCCAACAGATTCTTCATTAAACTCTTCTGCATAAATAAACTCAACTTTACATATAAACCATAACCACTATAGAGCCACATCAGCCCGTTTGATCAGACAATTCAGCTTGATCACATTTGTTCACGTTTTACAGAAACGAAACTTAAGGCCGTTTGGCTAATTAGCATAAACTGTTAGAGCTGATAAAAACAACTCGCTCCTTGTGCCGCTTCTTTTGGACTACTGACACGACTATGGATTATGTGTGTTATTTTTGTGACAGAAGAGGCGCTATTGTGATTGTACATGTGCAGGTTTAGCGCAGCTCTTAATTTTACAGTCATTTCACTCATTTGGTCACTTTATTTATGTTGGTCATGTTGGTCACTTTATTTATGTCGCTACTGTTGTGGTGAAAGGCTGGAAAGTGTCTTTTGGATGCATGCGCACTCAACTTTATGTTGCAGTAACCGGGACACTGTGTTTACATGTCACAAGTAACCTGGTTACTATTGGAATAAACCAGCTACAGTAACCCGGTTTCTAATAACCGGGATACTGCCATAACCGGGAAACTGAAACCGGGTTACTGCGTATACATGCACCATCAAGAAACCGGGATACTCAAAAAAAAACATCATAACCGGGTTATTGATGTGCATGTATACGCACTCACTGATTATTATACGTAACTCTTGTCTAAGTTTGGGAGGAAGTACATTAACTGATATTGGTCACTGGAAGATGTAAAAAGCACTTAAAGCACTTAAACTCTTAAGCACTTTAAAGCACTTAAACTCATTGTGGTGAGTAATTAGGATGGACGAAATAACCGTCAACCACTGCAAACAGTAACATGAACTGGAGATCACATTTTTAAGACAGAAATTTGATACAGTGCCATGTGTTTTTTCCATGGATATCAGTACTTTGAAACATTCCAAGTGAAGCAATAACATCTCCAGGGAGACAAGCAGGTGACGGACTCTCCATCAGAAAAGTTACATAGTGTTAAAGGGACAGTTTGGACTTTTGGACACAGGATCTAATTTCCTAGTGAGCCAGAGTGTTGAGACGTGTGGAGACACTTTTTTAAACTTACTTACCCACTCCACAAAACACCCAAAGCAAATCTATTATTACACCAGACTGTCGATGTGAATGTCTGTGTCAAGAGAATAATGTTTGAAATAAAACTAACCTTGCATCGCATGAATCGTCGCATGTTGAGGAACTATTTTCTCATATATCAGTCCGCCGCTGCCGAGCTTTCTATCAGGAAGTACAACTCACTGCTGCTGGCAGACATAAATTCTTCAAATGCAACGTTGATTTTACTTCTAAAATTATTCTATCGACACAGACATTCAGTCTGGCATTATAATTGTTTTGCTTCAGGTGTTTTGTGGAGTGGGTAAGACTGTTTTAGTGGCAGGATAACTATGGCCTAGCACCAGCGACCTCTGCAAATACAAAGACTGGATGAAAAAAAAAAAAAAAAAAGTGTCGCTACACGTCTCCAACACTCTGGCTCACTAGGTTACTTTTACACTGAAACAAATCCACGTATCACCTTATCAGAAACGATCTGCGTCCACACACGTCATTTCTGTGTCTGCGAGCCTTCCCTATCCACTCAGCTTTGAGCATATTTGTTTACGTTTTGCAGAAACGAAACTTAAAACCACATGGCCAATTTGCATAACCTGAGCACTCAAAAAACAGCTCACTATTGTGCGCTGATGCGGTTCAGCTTCTGTCGAACTACAGGACACGACTCAGTGGAATATGAGTGTTCTTTCTGTGACAGAGGAATGTTCTGCTGATGGTGAGTCTGTTATGTGCTTCTATTACATTGGAGATGATTCATGTTAAACTTTTAAGAGATTATACGTCTGCAGGTCGTACACATAGACCATATATATGAATGGACATATATTCTAGCCTCTTAGCGTTTTGGAGGTGAATTATTTCACGGCGCATAGACCTACATCAGCGTATCAACGTTTCCAGGCATCTACATAGTGCCGGATCAGATCTATACTGAGATGAATTTGTGGGAGCTGGCGGCACCAGATCGTTCCGTCTCTGGAGCTGTTTTCTATTGGATTAGGGTAGACGAACACTGCAAACGACTTGAATACATACTAGTGTGGACGGAGCCTAGGAAATGAGGCCCTACATCCAAAATTCTGAACTGTCCCTTTAAACTCGCACAGCAAAATGAATTCTTGTCATATTTGTGAGTTTACAAACCCATGAGAGTTTCACAGAGCAGCACTGAGCTCGCAAAAGCCAAAGAAATCAAAACAAACAGCGACGCCAACGAACAAACTGCATCTTATTTCAGCAAAAACAGACTATTAATATTTGTGAAAAACGTGCTTTGAGTAATCAGATTCAAATAAGGAGCCAGCTTAACATAGTGCACCTTTAACTTTAAAAACATATTTCTGTTTTATACCAAGTTCTTGTGTCTGTTGGTTTTTATTGCTGTGGATTGTGGGTCTGCTGCTGTGTAATATTTTCCACAGTTTAGGTACCAAAAGATTCATTCATGCCTAAATTGAGCAGTATCTCCCCAGGCCTCGTCCGTCTGAAATGTAACAGTAAAATCGATGTGTTTCTCACTGTTGAACCTGATACTGTACGATTCTCCACTTCACTTTTATATCTCTACATTTCATGAGTCTCATCTTTAGTGTGACTCATCGTTTTACTGGCAGCGCGCCTCTATCGGCCCTGCACACTTTCACAAAACCCATTCTCCCCCCTCCTCTCTCCTTCCATTCAGCATCTTTCTCTCTTTCTTTCCCCACCCACTATTCATCTCTTGCTCTCTTTCTCTCTCTTTCTCACCTCCCACTGTACATCTTTGTCTCTTTCTCTCTTCTCTCCGCCCACTTAGCATCTCTCTCTCTTACTCTATCTCTTTCTCCCCTCACTGTTCATCTTTCACTCTCTCTCTCTGTCTGTCTTTCTCTCATTTCCTCCCTTTCTCTCTTTCTGTATATGTTTCTTTCTCTCTCCTCCCACTGTTCATCTCTCTATCTGTTTCTCTCACTCTCTCATTCTCTCCTCCCACTAAGCACCTCTCTCAGTCTTTCTCTTTCTTTCTCCCCTTTGTTCATCTCTCTCTCTCTCTCTCTCTCTCTCCCATTTTCTCCTCCCACTGTTCATCTCTCTCTCTCATTCTCTCCTCCCACTGTTCATCTCTCTCTCTTTCTTTTCTCTCTCCTCCCATTGAGCACTTCTTTCACTCTTTCTTTCTCCACCCACTGTTCATCTCTCTCTCTCTTTCTCTGTCTTTCTCTCATTTCCTCCCTTTCTCTCTTTCTCTATATGTTTCTTTCTCTCTCCTCCCACTGTTCATCTCTCTATCTGTTTCTCTCTCTCTCTCTCTCTCTCTCTCTCATTCTCTCCTCCCACTGTACATCTCTCCCTTTCTCTCCTCTCTTCCACTAAGCACCTCTCTCACTCTTTCTCTTTCTTTCTCCCCCTTTGTTCATCTCTCTCTCTCTCTCTCTCTCTCTCTCTCTCTCTCTCTCTCATTTTCTCCTCCCACTGTTCATCTCTCTCTCTCGCTCTCTCCTCCCACTTCCCTCTTACTCTCTCTTTCTTTCTCCCCTCACTGTTTATCTCTCTCTCTTTATCTATCTATCTATCTCATTCTCTCCTCCCACTGTTCCTCTGTCTCTCTCTCTCTCTGTCTGTCTGTCTTCCTCTCATTTCCTCCCTTTCGCTCTTCTCTATCTGTTTCTCTCTCTCCTCCCACTGTTCATCTCTCGCTCTCTTTCCACTATAGATCTCTCTCTCTCTCTGTCTCTCCTCTCTTTCTCTGTTTATCTCTCTATCTGTTTCTCTCTCCTCCTACTGTTCATCTCTCTATCTGTCTCTTTCTCTATCTCTTTTTTTTCTCTCTCATCCCACTGTACCTCTTTTCTTTCCTCTATCAAACACATTAATATAGAATAAATCTTTTCCCATGGTGCTTCGAGGACTAATCTAAACAAATTTTCCCACACAAATATATATATATATATATATATATATATATATATATATATATATATATATATATATATATATATATATATATATATATATATATATATATATTATATATATTTTTTTTTTTTTCCATCAAATAACCAATCTCCGTTTTATCACTCTTTACAAATTCCAATCAAACTTTTCTTTTAAAGCCAGAATAAGTAACTTTTTAATCAGAAAAATACTAAAATAAAAACACTGGATTGCTATATGGTTCTAATTTTTTGTTTTTATTGACAGTATTCAGGCTCTTGCTTGTCCCCATGGAGAGCTATTGCTTTGCCTGAAATGTTCCACAGTACGGCATTAAACTTGTCTGTTTACACGGAGACAAGAAGGTGACACAATCAGGCCAAAGTTACTGGTCGGATCAGCGGAGAAGCAAGCCCACTTGTGTTTTTCAAGGTACAATAAAAACATCTGAATGCAAGTTTAAAGCTGTTTAGTATAATTAAATATTCCAGGTAAAGCAACAACATCTCCATGGAGACAAGCAGTTGGCAGACAGGTTACAGAGTGCACCTTTAATAACTCACTTTCTTTCAGATTTTGCTTAGTAACTGTCTGCAGGAACGCGCATAACTCTGCATAAATACATAAGTCCACACATGTACACTGGTTGTACACAGGCCTGTGCGCAGGTTATGGAGACTTTATGACCTCATAGTGAATGTGATGAATGGCGAGCGTAAAAAGAGTCAGATGGCACGACGCGCTTTGGGTTTATCTGTGAAGGAGCAGCTTTATGCAGGCCAGCGTCAGTAAAAACACAAATGAGACCTGCTCCACTGTGCTCGCATGTAGAGGTAATGGAATACACTATATCACGGGTAAACACGGAGGTGGATTTAACTGTTAAAATGTGCAGAGAAATTACATGTAAACAGAAAATACAACCACGTATCTGCTAATATTCAGCAGAGCCCATGAGAAAAATCAACACTTTTGCGGCTTTTAAGATATACAAAATGAACAACAAGTATTACTGGCTCTGACAACTGGTTGAACTCAAATTTGTCAACAATAATAATTCAAAAAAAGGTCAAAAGCTCGAGTTTGCCCTGATGAAGGACAAAGAGCCAAAATGTGTTGCCGTGATTTTAACTTGGGCTACATTTATATAATGATGGTCTGAATAGAAGACGCAAAAGTGGCGTCGCATCTTCACTTTTTCTTCCACATTTAGACAAGCGTTTTCGGGAGGAAATCTGCGTGCATACGGCGACGCAAAAGTGTGTGGAATTTGATTGGGTATGCATGCCATGCGGCTCGGTGGTGACGCTCGGTGGTGATGTATGTGACATAAACATGTACACGACGTGAGCAGATCTGACCAGAGTTTTGCGTCTTGGGTAGTGTAGATGGAAACCATTCCGAGGGGTGGTTTCAGATTTTTGCGTTTTTAAGCCCCCAAAACCATCACCGTCTAAACGAAAGGCACTTCCGATAAAATCTTTTGTCGTTATTACCCGCAAGCGTTCTCGTGTAAACAGGCCCTAAATTATTTTGTACTTTTTGAGTGCTTCAGCTTTTTCAACTTTGTATTTGAGACTGGTCCCTACAATGAAGTAGCCAGGCTGGGGTCACCTAGTGCCTCCGCTCAATTTCATTTCTCTCCAGGTCAAGAATCAGAATACACTAGACAGTTTGCACGAACCCCGGAAGTTGTAGACTGCACAACGGCCAATCAGTAAAGAGCTGTGAAGTCATGACGTCAAACTCAAGCACCTGTCTGGGTCCCATTTGTGGAACAACACAACAGTAAACAAAGCGTCGAGATGGATGTAGACGAAGACAGACATTCTGTGTTGGCAACAATTCCCGAGATCAAGGATTTAAAGCCGTAACAAAGAGAATATTTGGTGAATTTTATCAAGGGGAAAGATGTTATTGCCCTTCTTCCTATGGGACTTGGTGCATTACATACGTCACGAACAAATAGCAGTGATTGGTTAAATAAAAAAATTACCCGCCTACCATCGAACAAAGGAATCCTAATGCTGCGAGATCAGACGTTTTCCATGAAGTGAAACCAACTGATGAATCAGACTGACACTGAAGAGCACCAAAAGGACAATTTTGCACAATCTCTGTACATCCAAATAACACTCCTGCCTCCTAATGTTTTGCAGAGCTTTCACCGATGTTTGTATTTATTCTTGATTTAACCAGAATTATCATACTAATACAAACCTTATACAAGAGAGTCCTGAAATTGGGAGAACATGCAAACTCCATACATACAAAGAAAAACCTTACCCAATCCAGAAATCAAACCACGGACCTAGCACTAACTTCTCTGTGACAATGCCATTACAATAAATAAGTGAAAACAACTTTGATCCTGATCCTGATCACGTACAAAGTCATCCATAATCATGCTCCTCTATACCTCACTGACCTCCTCCTGAATCTCATCCCTTTCAGTCAGCTGATTCTAACTTCCGACGTTTACGTTAAAAAACTTTAATGCCCAATGGGAGCTGTCATCGCCATAAACAGCATCATAACAAAGAGGCGTTAAGTTGCCGGCACCTCTAATGGATAACTGCACATTTTCTAAAAAAAATTTACTAAAATGACTATGCGGCACTCTCGAATCCTACATGTATAACCATTTTAAGAAAATTTTATAATAATAAAGTAAGTGCAGAGCAGTGGGCATAAGCCAGTGGAGATGAAAATGGTTTGGGGGTTGATCAGCAAAATGGTGTCTTGAAAATAATCGATACAAGATTACTCAAACATGCACGAGTCACTCCAAATACAACTTTCGCTGAGAGAATGGTGAGGGGAAACAACCATAACAAGATTAAAAGCTCTGAAAAACAGATTTTGCATAGTAGGTTAGATTGCTTTAAGTGATTTAATGTTTTAGGAATTGGTTTTGTAACATTATTATCTGCCTCTTGTCTAAACCAGTGTTACCTGAGGAAGTCTGGAGCTTTGGAGATCATGTTTTCGAAGTCGCTGAAGGAGAGTTTAGAGTCTCCGTCCAGATCGGCCTCCTCCATGACCTTCTCACAGACCAGAGACACCTCCTCAGGACTCAGCTCCCCTTTGGTCAGCTTCACCAGGGTCTGCTGCAGGTCCTCTTTACAGATGAAGTTATCACGGTTATAATCTGAAACACGAGAGGAGGATAAAGATGTAGTTTAGTCCTTCGATTCGTGTTGTTCCTCAGTGCTCCTTTCCTTTTAAGTTCAAAGTTAGCGTTACTGTCAATTTCTTCACATGTACTAGACAAAGAAAGAACTCAAAATTACGTTTCTCTCTATCCCATGCGTAGACAAGACACGACAAACATTAAAGTACAAGACAGGACAACATTTACGAACACAGACACAACAAATAACATCAATTCTAACTACTACAGTAACCACAGATAAATAAATTAAGATAAAACAGCAGTAATAAAAGGCATGTTCTTATGTGGGTCTAGTGCAAATGGTAAATAGTGCAAAAGCAGAGGTGTAGTTGGGATTTTTTAAGTGGGGGTACACAATTCATAATAACCTACAGAACATAAATCAGAGGCTAAAACACATGTGCCTATGTGGACTAAACCAGGACAAAACCAGGTTTAAACCAGGTCTAAACCAGTAATAACGATCAGGTGACGTCTGCACTTAGCTCCGTGGGGTGCGGAGCTCGGTGCTGGTCTTTTCTCCGGCGGTCACTTGACAGTCTACATGGGCGCACCTTCAGGTCTGTCCCGACAATCAGTCCTGGTTTAGTTCTGGTTTAGACCTGGTTTAGTCCTGTTTTAGTTCTGTTTTTGTCCTAGTCTAGTTCAGTCCTTGGCACATGTGTTGAAGCCTATGATTTATGGTCTGTAGGTTATTACGAATCGTCTACCCCTACTTAAAAAATCTCTGTTTTAGTCCTGGTTCAGTTCTGGCTCAGTCCTGGTTCAGTCCTGGTCCCTCATGTCTCAGGTCACTATAGGACAGTCCTGCAGATATCATGAGTCTATGTAGATTGTTTTCACCGTTTCCAGTAGCTCCGGTTTGACATTTAAGTTGGAGCTATTTTATATTTCAAATTTTTTTTACACCTCACGCTGGGAGAAGTGAGTGGACTGCATACCCACGCACCACTATAATCCAAACCGACTATGCTTCTCTCTGATTGGTTAATCCACCTGTCAATCACGCCTATCTGCAATTAAGGAGACAGGATATGGTTCCAGACCCACGTGTCTTTGTTAAGATTTGTCAAAGCACCTGGTTTTGGCTGGACTGTTAAAGAAATGTCTCTGAAATATTGTATAAATAGTAAAATAATCCAGCCACATCACAATGGGCTACTCATATACTGGGCCTTTTATTTCCATTTCAGTTCTTAAACATGGTTCTGTTTCTTACCGTAGATCTTGAACGCGTAGATGGTCTTGAGTTCTCTGGGGGAGGCCTCACACAAAACAGAAAACATGTCCACGAAGTCATTAAAGCTCTGGTTTCCATCTCCGTCCTCTGAGAAGGTCTCCACGATCCGATCTCGAAATGGATTCTCCTGAACACAGAAAGAAAACGTTTGAATAAAAGCATAAGATGGTGCTCATTTAAAGTGCACTATGTAAGTTTGTATGCGAATACTCTTTGTCTTCATAGAGGTTTTGTCTCCAATGTTCAACACAATGACATAAATCTGCACGGAGAGTATTTCTTGAAAATAAAAACGCCTTTGATTGAATAAAAGAAAGTGGAATGCCATACTGTGGAACATTTCAGAGAAGCAAAAAGTTACACAATGGACTTCAGAGATCGTGCACTTTCTCCTGGGCTTTTGAAATACATAAACACAAGGCCTCAAATTACAAATGATAAGTTTTAAATGAATTGATTCTTTGCAGTGACACCATGCTGGGAGTATCCTACATATACTAGAGGTCCATTTTTAGAGACCCGCATCCGTCCGCACCCATGCAGAACAGCGCCGCACTCGCCCTTTAACCCGTGATTATATCAAAGTTAAACCCTTTAACAAAGGGTTGAAAATTGAAACGTTACAATTTCAAGAATTACAATCACAAAATGAAATGGTTACGCTTTCTTCTGTACAAATACAAATTCACTGTCATCACTTCACAGGTATTATTTATTGAACAGAAGAAACATTGATTGAGATGCCGGACTTTTGCACCGCACACGCAACAGACTGAACCAGGATTAACCCAGGACTAACCCAGGACTAACCCAGGACTAGCCCAGGACTAACCTAGAACAGATTCCAGGACTGAACCAGGAGGACTAAACCAGGACTGAACTAGGACTAAAACAGGACTAAACCAGGACTGAACTAGGACTAAAACAGGACTAAACCAGAAGTGAACCAGAACTGAACCAGGACTCACTATAGGGATGATCGCGCTTTGCAGAAACCCTGCTATGTGGGCTCAGTGTTCTCTCTCTCTCTTAAGTCCAAGATTAGTCCTGGTTTAGTTCTGGTTTAGTCCTGACGTGTGTAATTACTATCCGCCCACATACCCGCCCCTAAAATTCCCATTTCCCGGTGCAGGACTCTGACGTGTACATCTAATGGTATCATGTTCAGGAGTTACCACAGTTTTAAGAAAAAGAGAAGAAAAATACAAAATGGAGCCTGGATCAATACGAATGTTCATGGTTTTGTTTAGGAGTTAGATTTTCAGCAAAAACGTGAGAGCAACTAACTGAAAAACTGTTGGTGTCTGTATTTTTATGTGTAAGAGACTTGTTTTACAGCACAGATAAGCTCACCTCCAGCTATGTCAGTTCTTTATTTTAAAATTATTTTAAAATAAAGCACAATTTAGAGTCCAATAAAGTCTCAGACAGAGCAGAGCAGCTGTAAAGTATCAGTACAATGAAATCTCCATGCAGAGGAGGGGCAGTAGGGCCCGGTCAAGCAGAAGTAAAAAGCAAGGCCAAAAATTCAAGTTAATGCATCTGATATAAAAATGTATTGAACAGATAGCATATGTACTCTAGTTTATGAAACTGTTTACCTTTTTTCTGTACCATTTTTGGTTCTAAAGTTACATATGTTTTAAACAGACCATGTAACAAAAATTATTTCCCAAATTTCAAAGACCTGCAAATCATGTAAATAAATGGATGTATTTCATCATATCTTGTGTTTTTTGATCTTTGAACTGTTGATGAAAGTACATGATTTTTAAAAAAAAATATTTAAAATGATAAAAATTTGCTTGGAAGGACTGACATATTTTATAGAAATAGTTTCCTTTCATTTTGAAGTAATATTAAAGTTTTCAGAAGAAAAAAGCTGACAAATTATGCAAAATCATGCACCTTCTACTTGCTTGAACAATTTTCCTTCCGTTACTTTTCCCTTCGTTACCATGACCTTTCTTAATAAAAAATCTCATTACTCAAAAAGTAAGAGGTTTTTTAACCTAATCTTGTACCATATGGTAGAAAACTATATGAAGCAAATATTCAAACCAGTTTGTTAAGGATATGTAAGTGAGAACCACTAGTTATCACTGTTTGTATTTATTGCCCTCCGTTACTGACATGAGTTTTAAAATTTTTTGTCAGCAACTTGAAAGAATATCACAGATTTAACTTTACCCTGTTGGAGTGTTAACTCTTTCCTACATTCTGATACCTTACTTATTTCAATAGTCCCTCTAGTTTCTGAATAAAAGCTATTTGAATGTAAAAAATCTGCCCGTTTCTCTCCGTTACTGCTTGACCGGACCCAGTACAGTACCAGAGCAGCTGTAGTGTTATTTAGTGTTTTTAGTATTACCTTGAGCTCAGGCATAGTGACGATCAGAGCCAGCGGCACTCTGATGTCGGGGTTGTTGGTGTAATCCAGAGGGACTAAGTGTGGAGCCAGCTCTCTGTATCTGCCATGTAACCTGCAGCATAAACACAAGAAATACAATATCAATGGAAAAGTTGAGTGTCTGAAGAAATCAAATGTCATTTACAAATCATTCTATATGGTTTGGTTTTACTTTTAGTCCAAGTACTTATGTAGTAGGTCTGAAAAAGCATATGATATTCACAAAAAACTGCACTGCTCACAGCTAGAGAGTATCTAAAGATTAGAAAACCTTTATTTATTTATTTATTTGTATCACAGTCGGGAAATTTCTGTCTTGCAAAGCATAGTACAAGAACAGAAAAATACAAATATGCAGTAAAATATATAAAGATAAATCAGTCTAATCACAGTTAGATGAGCGGATGATGCTGTCAGGCCAAGTTACAGGTCAAGTTTGTGGAGAAGTGACCCTGCTCACTGTAATAATGCACGTTTTTTAAGATGTTTTTGAGCAACATAAACTTTGGTATTGAGTAAATGCAATGTAGATAAGTTGTGATAATGTTATACTGTGGAACATTCAAGGTAAAGCTAAAACATCTCCAAGGAGATACACAACGTGGAAAGTTATATTTAATAATAATTGTTTTTGTTTTGACAATGACATTTATCAATAACTGCACTATTGATCTAAACTAACGCAGCAAGAGGGATTCTCACGATATTTCTGAGTTCATAAACTCTTGAGGTGCTCCCATTGAACAGTTTATGTGATGATTATTTAGTGATGATTCCGGTCTTGGTGAAAGCTCAGACCACAGTTGATACTGATCCTTAGCCCAGGCATCCACGAGTCGTTGGCAGATCGTGGCGTAAGTCCCTCGGCGCTGTCTCCCTGTCTCCCACGCAGCTCGCAGTTTAACTTTATAATAGCCTTGAGTTTAAAGTCGGTGTTGTAAGCGAGTCTCTTGACAGGTGCATTTTGATATTAAAAGGAATCACAGTATGTATTATTCTGCGATGCTCCTGACTACGGGAGCCGTAATGCTGCAAGTGGTATGGCTTTGTAGTTTACTAAAGTTGTACTAAGACACCCAAATAAACTCATATATAAGGGCACTCTGGATTATAAGGCGCACAGTTGTTTTTTGATGAAATTGAAGTGCACCCTATAGTGTGGAAAATACAGTAATTTTAACTGTAGAATCAGTCTGAGTTAACATGTTACTTATGTTTCATTCATTACTAACACTAGTTTTGCGCAGAAGTAGTTCACTAATGCGTCGTCATTGTTCGCCTTTAAGTTTTCATCTTTCTTACCTTGATAGCTGTGGATAAATTCTTCGATTTATGAAGCTGGTGGAGAGTGAGACATTTCCACAAACATTTTGCCATTGAAAACCATTAACCAGAAGTTCCACAAACCTACAGTGGGGCACTTCTAGCTGTTTTTGAAAAAGGTCTATTGAGCAAACCGCTTTGAAGTACCCACCCACCTGTTTTTTTTAGCCAAGTGAGACATTTCCATAGACATTTGCCAGATAAAACCATTAACTGGAAGTTCTGTGATGATTCCGATCTTGGTGAAAGCTTTGACCACAGTTGATACTGATCCTTAGCCCAGGCGTCCACGAGCCTTTGGCAGATCATGGCGTAAGTCGCTCAGCGCTGTTTCCCTGTCTCCCATGCAGCTCGCACTTTAACTTTATAATAGCCTTGAGGTTAAAGTCGAAATTGTAAGCATGTCTCTTGACAGGTGCATTTTGATATTAAAAGGAATCACAATATGTATTACTCCGCGATGCTCCTGACTACAGGAGATGTAATGCTGCAAGTGGTGCGGCTTTGTAATTTACTAAAGTCGTACTAAGACACCCCAATAAATTCATATATAAGGCGCTCTGGATTATAAGGCATACAGTCGTTCTTTGATTAAATTAAAGTGCACCCTATAGTGTGGAAAATACAGTAATTTTAATTGTAGAATCAGTCTGAGTTAACAAATTACTTATGTCTCATTCATTACTAACACTAGTTTTGCACAGAAGTAGTTCACTAATGCGTCGTCATTGTTCGCCTTTATGTTTGTGTCTTTCTCACCTTGATAGTTGTAGATAAATTCTCCACGTTAGAATATTTATCTTTTGTAGATCTTGTTGGTTGAACATTTAGTGATGGGGCAGATTTATGAAGCTGGTGGAGAGTAGGCAAGACATTTCCACAAACATTTTGCCATAGAAAAACCATTAACCAGAAGTTCAGCTAAACCTACAGCGCAGCACTTCCAGCTGTTTTTGAAAAAGGTCTATTGAGCAAACTGCCCTGAAGCGCCCGCACACCTGTTTCTTTTTAGCCAAGTGAGATATTTCCATAGACATTTTACCAGATAAAACCATTAACTGGAAGTTCTGCAAACCTACAGAGCTGCACTTCCAGGCCGTTTTGAAAAAAAAAAGGCCTATTAGCTCGAGGTATTCTGTTGCAAGTAAATCCTTTTTCTAAACACTTTCAGCGAGAACCGTTCCAGATTGAGAATGTGCAGAACTCAACTCAGAGCGACACACATTAATCTGACGTGAACCAGGTAACTGTTGACCTCTTCTACATGAAACAAGCGCTACAAGCTCAAATCGTCCGTTAGAATCAGTGTAGGGCGGTGTGCAGCGGAGTGGATTAGACTGACTGTAGGGCGGCGTGCAGCGGGCCGGAAGCATTCACTAATCGACTTGAACAAACGCTGGCCAAAAGAGTGGAAAAAACACGGGCTGATTTACACAGGGAAATGTAGGAATAACCTGAACCAGCAACACTGCAACAGCTAATGCTCATTATCAAACCATAAGCGTAAATAATGGGCATAAATCTGTAGTTTTCATAGAGGAGCCGTGACCTACTGTAGTCTGCAGCTGAGCTAATGGAGCCGGCAGAGGGGGAGTTTACAGGCCTTTAATTGGACCTGGAGCCATTTTGAGTCGTATATCAGGAGGAACAGGAGGAACAGTGAGGGAAGAATGAGAGCAGGGGCGGGCAAGACTGACTGAAATGAAAAGATAGATTTTGTTTAGCAATACAGTGCGTTTATAACAGTATTTAAACTGTATTTTAAAGGAGCGCATCGCTTTGTCTGGAAGGTTTCACAGAATGGAGTTAAACCTTTCTAATCTGTGTATCATTTGTTTATTCGTTTTTCAAGATAAAACCAAAAATAAGAAAACAAAAAAACAACTATCTTCTGCATTATTTGTCTCCAAAATCAAAATGAAAAAACAGATAATGATTCATTTTTTCAGTTTTCGATTTTTTGTTTAAATGAGTAATGGAAAAAACGGATAACGAACATTTCCCATTTCTGTGACTGAACCAGGACTGAACCAGGTCTAAACCAGGAGACCAAGACTGAGACCAGGACCAGACCAGGACTGAGACCCGGACTGAGACCAGGACAAGATTGGGACTGAGAACAGGACCAGACCAGGACTGAGAGTGGGACTGAGACCAGGACCAGATTGGGACTGAGAACAGGAATGAAACCAGGACCAGACTGTGAGAGAGACCGGGAGTGAGACCGAGATTGAGACCGAGAACAGGACCAGGACTGAGACAAGGACTGAGACTGGGACCAGATCGGGACTGAGAACAGGACCAGACTAGGGCTGAGATTGGGACCAGATCGGGACCGAGTCCAGGACTGAAGCCAGGACCAGACTGTGAGAGAGACCGGGACTGAGACCGTGCTCAGACCAGGACTGAAATCGGAACCAGACTGGGACTGAGACTGTTACTGAGACCGGAACTGAAACTGAGACAAGGGCTGAGACCGGGACCAGATCGGGACTGAGAACAGGACCAGACCAGGACTGAGACTGGGGCCAGACCGGGACCGAGACCAGGACTGAAACCAGGACCAGACTGTGAGAGAGACCGGGACCGAGACCGGGATCATACCAGGACTTAAATCGGGACCAGACTGGGACTGAGATGAGGACTGAGACCGGGACTGAGACTGGGACTGAGACCAGGACTGAGACTGAGAACAGGACCAGGACTGAGACCAGGATTGAGACCAGGAACAGATTGGGACTGAGAACAGCACCAGACCAGGACTGAAACTGGGACCAGACTGGGATTGAGAGCAGGACTGAGACCGGGACCAGACCAGTTCAGTCCTGGTTTAGTCCTGGTTCATTCCTGGTTCAGTCTTGCATCGCAGTTTAAGTCACAGAAATGGGAAATGTTATCCTTTTTTTCCATTATTCATTTAAACACAAACCAAAAAAGAAAAAAAAAGAAAAAATGTACTGTACTTTACTGTGGTCTGCTGTCATAGTGAGGGACAGGAGGACACTGGACAAACTGCTCTTCATCATGGACACTCCTGCTCACCCACTGCACTAGACTATAGAGGGACAGATAATACTCCCTACAACTGTACACCAACTCAACCACCGCAGAGTCCTGCACGGGTTCATTTTTGGAGACCCGTGATAATATCAAAGTTAAACCTGCACCCGTTAACAATCCACCCGTTAAAAACATTCTAACTGAAGCGTCCATCAGAATATAAACTGAAAAGTTACGACTTCAAGAATTACAATCACGAAATGAAATGAAACAGTTACACTTTCTTCAGTATGGACACAAATTCACAGACGTGACTCGACTGTCATCACTTCACAGGCTTTATTGTGTGAGCAGAAGAAATGAACCAGGACTAACGCAGTACTAGCCCAGGACTGAACCAGGAGGACTAAACCAGGACTACACCAGGACTAAACCACAACTAAACCAGGACTAAACCAGAACTGAACCAGGACTCACTGTCTGGATAGGCTTGGAGGTGCGCCCGTGTAGACCGTCAGGTGACCACAGGAGGAAGGACCGGTGCTGAGCTCCGCGCCCCACGGAGGTCAGAGCAACCATCGCCCGATCATGCTTTGCGGACACCCTGCTCCTCGGGCTCTGGGTTCTCTTTCTCTCTTAAGTTCAACATTAGTTCTGGTTTAGACCTGGTTTAGTCTTCTTTTAGTCCTGGAGTAATCCTGGTATAGTTCTGGTTTAGTCCTGGACATGTAAAATTCCAGAACGTTAAAACCCGCCCATTTCAGCAACTATTTTTCCGGGTACCCTACCCAAATGCAGGACTCTGACCCACTGCACCAGACTATAGAAAAACAGAGGAGCTCATTCTCCAACAGGCTCCGACAGCTCCACTCAAACAGTGAGAGATACAGGCCTACATTCATACTATAATACTCCCTACAGCTGTACAACAACTCACCCTTATGTAACAGATAATACTCCCTACAACTGTACAACAACTCACACTTATGTAACAGATAATACTCCCTACAACTGTACAACAACTCACCCTTACGTAACAGATAATACTCCCTACAACTGTACAACAACTCACCCTTACGTGACAGATAATACTCCCTACAACTGTACAGCAACTCACCCTTATGTAACAGATAATACTCCCTACAACTATACAACAACTCACCCTTACGTGACAGATAATACTCCCTACAACTGTACAACTCACCCTTATGTGACAGATAATACTCCCTACAACTGTACAACAACTCACACTTATGTAACAGATAATACTCCCTACAACTGTACAACAACTCACCCTTATGTGACAGATAATACTCCCTACAACTGTACAACAACTCACACTTATGTAACAGATAATACTCCCTACAACTGTACAACAACTCGCCCTTAGGTAACACATAATACTCCCTACAACTGTACAACAACTCACACTTATGTAACAGATAATACTCCCTACAACTGTACAACAACTCACCCTTACGTAACAGATAATACTCCCTACAACTGTACAACAACTCACCCTTACGTAACAGATAATACTCCCTACAACTGTACAACAACTCACCCTTACGTGACAGATAATACTCCCTACAACTGTACAGCAACTCACCCTTATGTAACAGATAATACTCCCTACAACTATACAACAACTCACCCTTACGTGACAGATAATACTCCCTACAACTGTACAACTCACCCTTATGTGACAGATAATACTCCCTACAACTGTACAACAACTCACCCTTATGTGACAGATAATACTCCCTACAACTGTACAACAACTCACCCTTATGTAACAGATAATACTCCCTACAACTGTACAACAACTCGCCCTTAGGTAACACATAATACTCCCTACAACTGTACAACAACTCACACTTATGTAACAGATAATACTCCCTACAACTATACAACAACTCGCCCTTAGGTAACACATAATACTCCCTACAACTGTACAACAACTCACACTTATGTAACAGATAATACTCCCTACAACTGTACAACAACTCACCCTTATGTGACAGATAATACTCCCTACAACTGTACAGAAACTCACCCCTATGTAACAGATAATACTCCCTACAACTGTACAACAACTCACACTTATGTAACAGATAAACCTATGTCTTATAAAGCTGTGATTTTATATTTTATTACTTATTTTTCTATTTTATTTTGACTTTACACACATACATTTACATTTACATAATTATGTCTTATTTGACACCTGACTCTTGCTCTTTTTTTGAATTTAATATTGCCATTTATATTTTTCTCTTTGTTATTATATTGCATTTAATGATTGTTGTATCAGAATCAATATTGAGTACCGAGTCTATTCCTTAGAGCTTAAATCGAGTTTGAAATTTGACTATCGTGGGCTAAAAAGTATGAGTGCAGTAGGTAAGTTATAGTTAATAAGCAGGTCTGTAAAAGTTCATGTTTACATTTACAGAACCAACATCCTGCAACTGAACCAAAGCAAACAAGGATTTGTGCATCAAGAAGGACACTTTTGAAACAAGAGAGAAAAAACTCACCGTAAAATTTCTTTCCGGGTGAAAAAAGTGCAGTCCTGAAAAAATAAAACAAAAGAAGAGTTAAATTTTTAAAGGTCTGTTTATACTGTTTTACTGTATTGTCTGTTAAGTCTCTATTACGTGTTACAAATTAGGATAAAATAAAATATCTGTTTTAGTTTACACATTACGTTGTACTGTCACGATTATTACTATACCAGTTTATTGTTCTATAATTGAAAGACGGAAGCATTATTTTTAGTTCATGAGCGCATTTTCTTTTCTGTATAGTGAGAAACTTTTTATATTATTATAATTTTGTAACTATTGAGCTGCACAGAGTCTAAAAATTACCATTTAAAACTCATTAAAACACAAATTAACCACATTAGATTTTTATTTTACAGTTTATTTATTGCAGCTTATGTTAATTTAAAGATGCATTGTGTAACTTTTCGGGTGGAGGGTGCATCAACAGAGGTGGGGACTTGCAAGTCGTGACTTATTTTTCGGACTTGAGACTTGATTTGATAAAATGGACTAAGACTTGGGACTTGACTCGGACTTGAGGCTTGTGACTTGGGAAGCACTTTTAAATCTGAATTCTTTCTGTTCTGACTGTAATGATTCACACTAAGATCTTGTCAAGACATTTAAAAAGGAAAAAATAACTAAATTAATTTCTACAACTCTACAAATTATATACTCTATAAATACTCATATATACTGTAAATATTCTGTTTTTTAAGTACAAATTATCTTAAAATTCATATAAACTGCAAAAATCTAAGCTATATTTGGTAGTTTGGTTTAAAGACTTGAAATGACTTGAAGCTCAAAGCAGACGACTTGGACTTGACTTGGACTTATGGGCCGGTGACTCAAGACTCGACTTGGACTTGCTTGTATTTGATTTTGGACTTGACTTGGACTTGAGGTCAAAGACTTGAGACTTGCAAAACAACGACCTGGTCCCACCTTTGCCCATCAAACTCCTTTTTTTCATGGACATGTTATTGCTTTGTCTGTCTTGTTATTAAACCTTTCTATCGTCATGGAGACCAAACCAGACCAAGTTACAGGTCAGATCTGTGGAGAGGCAACCCCGCTCACAGTCAGAATGCCTGTTTTTCTTAGTGTTTTTGAATGGAACAAGCAGATGACAGACCTCTAACCAAAAAGTTACACAGTGCACCTTTAAGATACAGTAGTTTCAATGATCATGATCTCAAATGATCACGTATTTGCAATAATTCACACTTTTAAAATGTCTACAGGTCTATTGTTTTGACAACTTTTCATAAACGCACAACAAAATATCGATTATTATGGGATAAGATAGTTATTCAGAATGTTTTATTTTATTTTATTATTGTCTTTTTCAACAAATTTCATCACAAAGCCTCATTTTGTAAGATGTATTTGTAAAATCTAATTATTAAAAGTATTATTATTTTTGTTTTAATGTATTTATTTTGGGCAAGTAAAGATTTACATTCTTATACAATAGGACATACAACATAAGTGAAATTATAACAGAAATGAAAATAACCACGATTAAAAAAAATAATTTGCCCAATAGGAATAGGAAGAAGAAAACTTATTTAATCCCACCCCCACCCAAAAGTGAACCATTAAAAGGTAGCTGTTAAAAATAATCTAGTTTATTGTGCAAATCTTTTTTTAATATTTGGCATTATTCTGCAAAATACTGTAGACCCCATCCTTATTAATTGTGATTATGTAACTTAAAATGTGATGACACTTCCATTCACAAATCCTGGACCCAATGGATGCCAAAAAAGAGCTACTCCAAAATGTAAAATATTGGATTATGAGAAGATCTATGCCAAAATAAGTTAAAATATCTAAACATTATATTTGAAGATGATTGTGGGGTGGCAGTACCTGGAACGCCTCCAGTTGCTCATCGGTGAAGGTTGTCTGCTTGTTGCCCATCCTCGTCGATTGGCCCCGGCTCCAGGCAGATGCATCACACTGGAAGTTCCGCAAAAACCATCAAAAGCAACGAGAAATATCCGCTTTAATCCGAGTAAACAGCGTCCAGAGAGGCAAGATCCACCCTCATATTTGCATCGTGTTTGATTTTAGAGCAAAGCAGCGCAGGGAAAAGGTGGGATTTCGCGCAGATGCGGAGGAGGTGAAGACGGCAACGAGGGGCGTTCACGGGCACGATGGAAAGTGGGAAAAGTGAGGCGTGTCAAAGTTTTACAGACAGAAGGTGTGGGGAATGGAGGATATTGCGCTGTATAAAATAAAATAAATTAAAATACAATGAAATACAATACAATACAATACAATACAATACAATACAAAACAAGAAAACAAAACAAAATGAAATATACATAAAGAGAGTCTACTAATTTTAGTGGCCGCAAAAAAATGGGACGATTATAAGAAAGAGGAAAAGCCTGTGGGTACAATGCCTATAAAACATAAACCATTGTCCATTTATTAGTGCACAATGTTCTGCTTCAAAATTGTACATTTGTAATAGTAATAGGCATGTAATCAACCAAATTTTAATTTTAAATTTTATTCTGAGCAAAAAAAATATTATTATTATTATTATCATTATTATTTATCATCATTATTATTATTATTATTATTATTATTATTATTATTATTATTATTATTATTATTATTATTATTATTATTATGTATTTATTTATTTACTATTTTTTCTCTTTGGAGACAATGGGGGATTGTAATGGGAAGGGGGTTTGGGGATTAAACAATGATCATTATATTACTACTAATTGTTTTTCTTTGTGACATCTGCTTTATGTGCACCAAAAAAAATAAATAAATAAATAAATAAATCCCTTGGAGACCCCTAGTTTAAGGTGTATTGTGTAACTTTTCAGATAGGGGAATCGCCACCTGATGTCTCCATGGAGATAGTATTACTTTGTCCAAAATGTTGCATTAAACTTATCCACCATTCATTCAGTCATGGGTGTTTTCTTTTATTGCTCAAAGAACACACACAGCTTCAGTCAGCGGGGCGTCCTTTGCACAGATCTGACCTGTATCTTGGTTTGGTGGCGTCTCCTGCTTGTTTTCATGGAGATAGTTAAGTTTTAGTTATCTCGTACTGTGACACATTCCAAGCAAAGCAATTACATCGTCATGGAGACAAAAATGTAGGCAGATCCTCCTCCAGAAAAGTTTTATATTGCACCTTTAAGAATAAATATTTCCAAACTATTTCTAGCATACAGAATATAAATATAAATATAGAAAGACAATAACCTTATTTTGCAACACCAACATTCAACATAATTAAACTTGCCTTATTATGGTTATCATTAAATTAAGTCAATAAAAAAGCTGATTATCATTTAAGTTTTTCAGATGATCGTGAACGTTTCCTAAAGGTGAGTGATGCTGCGGTGCTGCTCGTGCAATTCCAAATTCAGCCACAAGAGGACGACAAATCTCATGTTTTTTTTACAACTACTTTACAAGCAATAATAAAACGAAAGCAATTAAGCCAATTAACTAATCGTCTTTCTATCTTATTCATTCATAGTACGTTTTCTAGCATTCTAATTATACATTAAACCTAAAAAGGGCACCAATAATGTTCTATTTATAATATTTCACGAGGATGTACAGATAATATTCGTTTTCATCATGAAACGAGACAATTTTTTACTGTCATAATTTGCAATATTAGCCCCTCAAATATATTTATCTTCGAGGTTTAAATCAAACAAGAAATAAATAAAAATAATTCATAAAAACAAATCTGGCAACCGAGCAGCGTCACTGATTACGTTGGAACTGATAAAAAAAATAAATAAATAAAAGAAAGAAAGAAAAAAATAAAAGAAAAATAGAAAAGAAAAAAATTTATGGGAAATTAAATAATATTGAAAAAAAAAAGAAAACAAAAATAAATTAAAAAATAAAAAATAAAATAAACTCCTGTATTTCCGCATTGACCGCTCTCCTCTATCGAAGATCGTCTCTTAAATATAACCACTCTTCAAACTTTGAGCATTGTTCTACAAGGTTATAATTTACAACTTAGCCGCAAACTTTAGTATACTCTACACATTTACGTTTAAAAGCTGTCATAATTGAACATCAGCTGTATCTTAAATGACGTTTTGAGGAGTTTAAATCTATTTTCGTACATTGACACGCCTCTGCAGAGTAAACGTATTGTTGCGCACACGCTCTCTGTCCCGCACATCTTCTCTTCAGTAGCATGGCAGGCAACGCGTGGAGGTCAATGGTGAGTAAATTAGATTCACTAACCTATTAAAAGTCCGTGTGATGATTTAACTTATCTTAATTCATCTTGGGGCTTGTTTTAGAAGGAGATGCTGCGGTTTTACGTAAGATTTTCCTCCTTATTTCTCTGCTGAACGCGGCTATTAGCAGTTAGCTCCTGTTAGCTTTTACCTGTGTCCTTCAGTGGGATGACAGCTCTGCTCCTTTCATCAAACTTAACTTTAACAAATAAATATAAAATGACTGCACATATACTCGTGTATTTATTAGAGTGAAATATACAGCAGTTCTTCACATATAGCAATAAGCCATAGTTTTATATCAGTTAATAAATTGTGTTGGTTAGCTGATTTATTACTGTAAATTACCTAAGTTATCACAGAAATGCCTTATTGTCATGTCCATTCTTTGCAGTTTACAATCCTAAACACATATTTTAATTCCACCTTATTGGTTTTATATTAAATATTTTAAATGATAAGGAACCAGCTGTGTATTTTTAGGTTAATTATTGTAATAAATGTTAAATGTGTGACAGTGTCTTTGATTTTCCTCTTTCTATATTTCTAATTGGGAACAAGGTGTGTATATTTGTAACATTTAATCTGTTCATAGAGAATTGCATTTACAAACACGTACGAAAACCAATAATCCTGATTGCTCAAGTTTACATAGCCAATATTTTACCTGTATTGAACTATCTTTAATTTATAAAAGCCAGAGAACATTAATTTAACTATTTACTGTAATTCTTTGTAATGTTAATAAGCAATAGTCATAATAATAGAATATTTCTTAAGTGAGTTTAGTAACAATCTCAGTACAAAGCTTGAATTATTTGTGTAATGGGTGTTGACCTTGTGCTGTGCCCTGCAGCTGTCCCAGGCCGTGGGGGCCGTCAGGAAACCGGCTCTGTCGTCCTTCTCCAGAGGGGTGAGTCCCACCTGACCTCAACCTGACACCAACAATGGACCAGGACCTCTCTGAAAAATGTACCTGAACTTAAATAACCACTGACAAGGAACAAAAGAGTCTCATCTAGTTTAATACAGTAGTCTTGTATCTGTAGTGTTTGCTTACTGATAGGGACTCTGATAAAGGCATTGTTTAATTACCTGAGTACATTACTACATAAATAAAAGCTTGCTGATTCCAACACACATACTTACAAGAAAAACTTCAACCATTTTCATTTTAGAACAATGAATGAAGTGTCAAATGGATACAGCAGCCCACGATATCAATAATCATCAAATTCAACTATACCGTATTTATCAATATTTCTTAATTTCTGCACACTCCTAATTGGAATCTTTTGTGAGTAATGCCATTGTGATTGGAATTCCAGTTTTTATTATTAGACATGCATATTTATAGTGATGCCATTTGAAGCTTGGGAGGATACAGAAGTTACAGTTGATGCGACTTGGACAGAGTTGTGTGTGGATTTAGGTTTGAAAGTCCACATAATCCTGATGGTGTGAGAAGGTCTAATCCTGTGTTTAACCTCCTCAGATACAAACGGTCACTCTGATCCCAGGAGACGGGATCGGACCTGAGATCTCCTCTGCTGTCATGCAGATCTTTGAGGCTGCGAAGGTAAAAAACAAAACAAAACAAAACAAAATAAAACACTACTGATAATGTTATTTTTAAAGGTTCACTGTGCAGCCTTTGTAGTGGAGGGACCGTCACCTGCTTGTTTCTATGGATATGTCATTGTTCTGCCTTGAATATTCCACAGTGTGACATTAAACGATTTGGTTTTATAGCTTAGAACAGGGTAGCCGCGGGGTCTGAAAAGTCTTAAAAAAGGTCTTAAATTTCATGTTCCTAAATTAAGGCCTTAAAAAGTCTTCAATTATGTTGTCCAAGTCTTATTTTTTTCACAAAGGTCTTAAATTTAATGCGATGTTAAACGGAGGGAGGGGAAAAAAAAAACAATGTGAATGAATGTATGAGCAAATAATACTCTGGTTTGTCTGTTGTTGTTGTTGAAAATGTTAAATGGTTGAAGCACTTTGAAAAACAATGTGAGACAAGAAGAGGATGAAAGGTGAAGGGTTAGTTTGTCTTGTTAGAATGTTATAAATTATTTTTGGTACAAGCAATGCATACTACTATAAATTAGTTCTGAATGAGATTTTATAATGAAAGTATTTTTTGTTATTTAAAGCAGTGAGTAACGTTCATTTTTAGAATTGCATCTGGTGTTTTTCGCCCGCATAATGGGTGCGATTTTGGTCTTAATTTTCATTTAAGTGGTCTTAAAAAGGTCTTTAAAAAGTCTTAAATTTGGCGTAGTCAAACCTGGGGATACCCTGTAGAAATACCTAGAAAAACAGGCATTCTGACTGTGAGCGAGGAAGAGCATTTGACGGACCCTCCACCAGAAAATTTACACAATGCACCTTTAAATTTTAGCATTATAATGTTGTTATTGATCTACTACAAACAATGAAAAACAGATAGATACACGTGAGTTTGATTTTTCAAATCTATTGCTTTGTTTCATACTCCAAAACATGGAAATGTATATGGTATACATTTTCTATTTTAATTTATTTTATCTATTGACTTCATAGCTGAGACAAGGTAGAGTGATATGGCTTAAAATTATGATATGAAAAAGAATTTGTTGTATAGGGATATCTTAGACTTAGACACTTCACATTATAATAACAAAGAGTAAAAAATATAAAAATGGTAATAATAAATTCCAAATAAATTGCAGTAAAAATGGCAAGAGACACGTGTCAAATAAGGAATAATTATATAAATGTATGTGTTTAAGTTCAGTACAAAAAACAGAAATATAGTAATATAAATACAGTATATCACAGTTATATACAGGAGGTGTTCCGGAAAAAAAGTGCCAAGACGATATGATGGTGGTTTATTTCAGGCTAAACTGCAATGTACTAGGAAATTATACTGTTATTTTAGGGTTGGATGATCTTCTGGGCATCAGGTTGACTGGTGTGAAGCTCCCACAGATGAATGCTGTTGTTGTGTCCTTGGGCAAGACACTTAACCCACCTTGCCCACAGTGTCTGCGTACACTGGTGTATGAATGTGTGTGTGGATGGGTGAGTGGTTCCTTGTTGTAAAGCGCTTTGAGTGCCTTGAAGGTGGAAAAGCGCTATAGAAAAATGTGACCATTTACCATATTTGATTACGTATTATTTAAAAAAAATAATTCAGATTTAAAACGTCTGTAATTGCTTCTGTCTGTTAAAACAGGCTCCGATCAAATGGGAGGAGAGGAACGTCACAGCCATAAAAGGACCTGGAGGAAAGTGGATGATTCCCCCTGATGCTAAAGAGTCCATGGACAAGAATAAAATGGGTCTCAAAGGTATTTTCTAGATTAGATGTGTTTAAACTATAGAATAATTACATTAATTTCACAACATTTGTTTGTTTGTTTGTTTGACTGGGTCTAATCTACAGGGCCAGTAGGCTTGATTAAAAATAAATTCTGAGACCTCATGTTGAGTTTTGTGCTGAAGACATGGTGTTGTGTACATCATTGTAGCATTAAAATATTATTGATAATTTTTTAAATTATTATTTAAATTTTTTTTTTTTGTTATTATTATCGATTAAATCTTTCAATACCTTAATCCTGATTGGTTTAACTGTAGCTGATCACCACAAGATTAAAACTTAAAGCTCCTCTTCCTGAATTTGTTTTTGTATTTTGCAAAAACTTTCTTTCCCCAGTGTAGATATATTTTATAAGCAGCTCTTGAGGTAAAGAAAATTGTCCACCACGTGCTGTCTATGGTACATCTAATTGTAATTACTCTTTATTGTCCAATAATCAGGAAGTGTGTCTTAGCATGCTAGTTGCTGTTAGTGTTATTGTCAAGGCTCCACTCTGGTTTATAAACATGTTGCGGTGAATAATTAAGACTCTAGGAAAGCATAAAGTAAGTGAGGAATAACTTTGGACCACTGCAGAAATGTTCAAAGGTGCACTAAAAGTTTATGGTTGGGGGTCCGTCGCCTACTTGTTTCCATGGATACGTCATTAATCTGCTTGGAATGTTCCACAGTATGATATTAAACAGCCCTACCTTACATTTATTCAACTACTGGTGGTTGTAGAGTTCAAAAATACCTAGAAAAACAGGCATTCTGACTGTGAGTGGGGATGTTTCTCCAGAGATCTGACCTGTAACTTGGTCTGGTTGGGGCTCCTTGAAGATGGAAAGTTTTAATGCCATATTGTGAAACATTTTAGACTAAACAATAGCAACTCCATGGAGAAAAGTATCTGACGGACCCTCCACAAGAAAAGCTACACATTGCACCTTTTAAGCTATCAAAATCAGTTACAGCACCTTTTTTTTTAAACTTAAATTTCTCTTTAGGACCCCTGAAGACCCCGATCGCGGCGGGACACCCCTCCATGAACCTGCTGCTGAGAAAGACCTTCGACCTTTATGCGAACGTGCGCCCGTGTCTGTCCATCGAGGGGTACAAGACTCCGTACACCGACGTGAACCTGGTCACCATCAGAGAAAACACGGAGGGAGAGTACAGCGGCATCGAGCACATTGTGAGTCTGAACACCAGTGTTATTATAAACAAACAGGTTTAACTGTAGAGCAGGGTGTGCTGTAATGACAGACACGATTATAGACTACTGAAAATTACTACTATTACTAAACTTACTATTACTATTGAAATTAGAGATTGACTGATGTGGGTTTTTTCATGTCTGATATTATTATGTCTCTCTTTTTTAATTTTAATCTTCATGATTATTTATGTTTTGATTTGTTTTTATTATGATTTTAATGTATTTCTTATTCTGTAAAGCACTTTGAATTACTTAGTGTACGAATTGTGCTATACAAATAAACTTGCCTTGCTTTGCCTCTGATATTGGTAGCATTTTGAATCCAGAGAAATCAGGGCAATTTTGATTATTTTTCTGAAATTATGTAAGAAAAAAGTGGTAAAATAAAGCTTTGTGTGTACTCTTTAGGCAGCAGGTCGGCCAAAACAAAACATTGGCCTGTGCTAAAGATTTAAGGCCGATAACGAATGCACTAAAAAGTTATACCTTATTGGAATCCAGTTTTACAGAGTGACGTGCATCAACACAAATATTCTTGAATTAAAAATAAACATCTTGCTTTGAATTCTGTTTGAACCCTCCTTGTTGTTATTTTCAGATTGTCGACGGTGTGGTTCAGAGCATCAAACTGATCACAGAGGAGGCGAGTCGGCGCATCGCAGAGTACGCCTTCGAATACGCCAGAAACAACCAAAGAACCAGCGTCACCGCCGTGCACAAAGCCAACATCATGTGAGTCCACACTGATGGAGCAGTCCCCTACTTTGTCTTAAAACCAAACAGAATAAACAGACATGGGCCAGTCAAGTCCATTATTAAATACATTTTTAAACCCATTGCTCTGTCAGGTTGGTGGTCTGAATCCTGCTCTTAACTTAGACTTGACATATAAACATCTTTGGTGGAACGGTCAGATCCTCAGACCCACAGGTTGGCGGTGCGATTCTAGTTCCTACAGATGAATACTGTCTTTGTGCAAGACACTAAACCAGGGGTGGGCAAACTTTTTGACTCTTGGGCCCCAAAGGGTTCTAAAATTTGATGGAAGGGCTGGACCAGGAGTAGCCAGGCTGGCGCCACCTAATGTCTCCGCTCAATTTCATTTCTCTCCAGCGACTAGGTCAGGAATCAGAATACACTAGACGGTTTGCAAGAACCCCGGAAGTGCAAGTTCAGGCACCAGCCAATCAGCGAAGAACCATACATTTTGTGTTGTCAATGATTCCCAAGATCGAGGATTTAAAGCCGGAATAAGGAGAATGTTTGGTGAATTTTATCAAGGGGAAAGATGTTATTGTCCTTCTTCCTACGGGATTTGGGAAAAGCTTAATATACCAGTTAGCCCCGTTAGCGACGCATTACATACATGACGACCAAATGGCAGCGACTGGTTAAATGAAAAAAGTACCCGCCTACCATCAAACGAACAAATTATAACACTGCGAGGTCAGATGGTTTCTGTGAAGTGAAACGAAGTGACACCGGCTGATGAATCAGGCTAGAAAACTTATCCCATGTTATTGAAATATACCATAATTGAAAATCATTACAAGCATTACAACTAAATATCTGTCTTTCAAGTCTCACGGTATTTACTATTTATACAAATGACTTTTAAAACACTGAAAATTATTATTACTTTTATTCAAGTTTGCTGGGCCGGATTAAAAAGATTAAAGGGCCACATATGGTCCCTGGGCCGTAGTTTGCCCACCCTGCACTAAACCCACGTGTGTGTGTGTGTTTGTGTGTGTGTACACTGGTGTATGAAAGTGTGCATGTGAATTTGTGAGTGGATGTAAAGTGCTGTGAGTGCCTTGAAAGTAGAAAAGCTCTATATAAAAGTGACAGTTTACCATTTAATTAAATAATTATGATTTATTTCTTACATTGTTTTCTCTTTTGTGTTTAGGCGAATGTCGGACGGTCTGTTTCTCAGGAAGTGTCGTGAAGTGGCAGAAAACTACAAAGACATCAAATTCACAGAGATGTACCTGGACACAGTGTGCCTCAATGTGAGTCCAGTCTCCAGGAGGATTTCAGTTATTACTCTAGTCAGTTACGAAAAATGCAGTAATCTAAAACATCGAAAAAATTACATGTACTACAACTCTGAGCAGCTAGTTACTTGGATGGATGGTTAGATAGATAAAGTTAAGATAGTAAGAGTTTGAAATGGTCAAATGAGCCAAATAATCATGATTTTTTTATTTTTTTTCCTTAATAGAGTCTTTTTTAAATTGAGACGTAGTAATGTCATTGAATTAAATCATCATGAGTTAAATTAAAAGATTTGTCTTTATACAGATGGTGCAGGACCCCAGTAAGTTTGATGTGCTGGTCATGCCCAACCTGTACGGAGACATCCTCAGGTGAGAAAAACACCACATCTTCTTGTTTCTATGGATATGTCATTGCTCTGCCTGGAATGTTCCATAGTGTGACATTAAACAGCTCTACCATATATTTATTCAGTTAAAGGCAGTTTTATAGCTCAAAAATGCCTAGAAAATCAGGCATTCTGACTGTGAGCGGGGTCGCCTCTCCACAGATCTGACCTGTAACTTGGTCTGGTTTGGTCTCCATGAAGATAGAAAGTTTTAATGCCATACTGTGAAACATTCCAGACATAGTAATAACATCTCCATGGAGAAAAGCGTTTGATTGACCATCCACCAGAAAACTTGCACAATTTAATTATTTTTTTCTTTCTACCATGTTGTTATAATGTTTATTCCTCGTCTAAAACATGCCTGAAGTGGGTTGAGATGTCGTCTGTGCATGTTTGAGTAATTTAGCGATCTATCGTAGGCCATATTTGAACCTTTGGCAGTACGATTCTGTCCAATGTGCCTAGGTTACTCCCCCTACTACACGACAATTCTACATAAATATACAAAAACATGATACAAAACTGTTCGCAACAACTTCACAAACCTGATGTGATGTGCAGTAGGTTCATCTGCAAAAGCACATAGAATATATTGTGATAGTGCTCTGAAGGGGGAGTGACTTCTAAAACATGTAAATCAGTTGTTTTTGTTATGTTTGCACAGTTAATACCCCACAAAAGTAAAGTACCTCTTCTTTTAAAGACATTTAAACCTGATTGGTATTAAAGTCCTGTCTATTTTCACAGTGATCTTTGCGCTGGTCTGATCGGAGGACTCGGAGTCACTCCCAGCGGAAACATCGGAGCAAACGGAATCGCCATCTTTGAATCGGTTTGTGTGTTTTTTTAAAATACATTTTATACTTAAAGGTACAGAAACTTTCCATGTGATTCCCTGGAAACAGACATTTAATACCGTACTCAAGCATATTTTCCATGGAGCTAGATACATTTTATGCCAGACTGTGCAACATTATCACCATAGGCCCTTCTCCAGGCCAAATAATAGTCAGGTTTGTGGAGATGCAAGCCCGCTCAGAGTATGGACATGTTTTTCAGTGCAATAAACGGTTAAAGAAACATGCTTTTATTTAATTACATTTTGGGTGTAGCGGTGCATTGTGTAACTTTTATGGTGGAGCGTCCGTTTGTCTGCAAAGTTCCACGGTATGATATCAAACCGTTCTATCTTCACTGAGAACAAAGCAGACCAAGTTACAGCTCAGATCTGTGGATAGGCAACCCCACTTACAATCAGAATGCCTGTTTTTCTAGGTATTTTTGAGCTATAAAACCACCTGTAATTGAAAAAATGTAAGATGTTTAATGTCGTACTGTGAAACATTCCAGACATAGAAACAAGCACTTGATAGCTCCCCAACCAAAAAGTTACATAGTGCACCTTTAAGTGTATTTTTGGCTGAAATGTGACATACTCTGGCTTTAAAGATTAAAGAATAAAGAAAATGTTATAGATTTTATGTGTGTATAAAATAGTAATCTGTACTTGCCTGTATTCTGACCCATTTTTGACCCTGTGTAGGTTCACGGCACGGCTCCAGACATCGCAGGGCTGGACCTGGCGAACCCCACGGCTCTGCTCCTCAGCGCCGTCATGATGCTCAGACACATGGGTCCTCCACTCCTACGCAGACAAGATCCAAACGGCCTGCTTCGACACCATCAAGGACAAGAAGGTCCGGTTTTAATACAGGATATAGTACAAACAAAACAAGACAAAACAAAACTCGCAAATCTCCACTGACAGGGACATGGCATGATTATTGTGACACAAAAAAAAAATATTACAATGACTGACACTAGAGTTAAACACACATAAAAGCACTTTATATTTACTTTAGGTGTCTAGATTGAGAAGACTTTCTGTGGCCATACTGGTTTGTCAAAGATTAATCTCGTCAGATCTCAGATGATAACAGGGCCGATGTGGTACAGGATTTTGACCCCACGGTGAGGTGACCCCGGGGTTAACATAGCACATAGTATTTTGACCCCGGGGTCAGAATACTGTAGAATATTGACCCTCCTATGAAAATCTATATTTTATTCATAAAGAACTTGAATTCTATAGAAAAACTTTGAATAGTAATACTATATCTGCAAATTAAAACATATTTAAAAGTTTTTTGAAGAACTCAGATGCATTTTTTTGTTGATTATAACTTTTGAATGTTAAAAACACATATTTTACTGAAAATGAGATAAGTAGTTATTAATGAGTTAGGTAATCAAAGTGATGTATAATAATTTGGAATCTTGTTCAAATAAACAGGGCTGATCAGTTGAGTAGTTAAATAGGGGATAACTACGGCTATAGTAATCTGACCCCCAATATGTTTATTATAGTTATTATGATGTAAAATAAGAAGTAAAGTTAGTTGAATATCGACAATGATGAATTTTATATAAAAAGGTCAAAAGCATATGACTAGTAATCTGATACCCCCAATATGTTTATTATAACATAACTAAATTCAAGGTCATTATCCTTACAAACCATTGCCTAAATTGACATTATGATTAAAGATTATCTGAACAGAGCAAACTAAAAACCATAACAATGTAACATACAATATAAAAAGTGACAAAATTGCTATGTATATGCAATTTTAACAATACGTTACATTTACACAAAATACCAAATCTTTATCCATTAAAACATTCCTTAAAATACCTTAAAAGAAAGTGAAAGTAATTACATGAGAAATAATGATCAGATAAGTAACTACTAACGAAAAAAGTAAGGGGAGTCAAAATCGTATGGTGGGGGGGGGTCACTTTACTATAACAGTATGTTGACCCCAGGGTCAAAATACTGTCTCACACCGGGCCTGGTTTGAATGAATATGAAAGATATGAATTAATGAGAAATATGAATGAATAATGTACTGGAAAAGCTCTATATAAAACTGATCCATTATTATTATTTTAATCCTTATAATAATCACAAATATTGATAAAAGTGATTATTTTGGCACCCCTACTGTAGAGAAAGTTGGACCAAAAGGATGTAACTGAGTCAACCAAACTGACTTTATATGAAATTGATTTTTAGAGCAGAATATTTTTTAGTACATAAGTGTAATGTCTTTGTGTCTTTTAAATAAATATGATGTCCAAAAATGGGTAGATTCTTCTGTCTGTATCTGTGTAATCCCACAGTGGTCTCATAATTGTTCTGATTCAGCTCAAGATCATTCTAAAGTTATTCACAAAAGGTTAATTTCTGTCCTGTGAATGTGACTTTTTTAGTACTGACACCTGCTCAAATGAGGATCTAGTTTTGGTAGTTTTGGTTAGTGCTGTCAAAAGTGCTGAATATCAGAGACTAACTTACCTAAAATTTTTCATAGCGGGTGAACTTTCAAGTGAATTAACAATGTCATTTCTAATAGCTCTACTAATTCTTTTTTTTCTGTTTTTTTTTTTTTCTCTCAGGTTTTGACAAAGGATCTGGGAGGGAACTCAAAGTGCTCAGAGTTCACAGGAGAGATCTGCCGTAGAGTTCAGGACATGGACTGAATCGCTCACTCACACTGACGCAGCTCTCCTGTCTGACCTGTGGAGGGCGCTGTTGTTTCACTCCTTCCAATGCCGACTGTTCGTTCATTTCTCTGAAGACGCAGAGGAACGGAGGTCGGCTTTAGAGAGCTCCGTGCTGCCATCTACTATTTATTTCTGTCACGTTTCATTTACAGCTAATACAGTCCAAGTCTGTGTGTTTCTGGTGAAGAACATTGGAATTTACTATAGAGTATGTGTTTTAAAGAGGGGGTATTATACAAAATCGACTTTTTAAAGCTTTCTACCACGTTATAACGTTTTTCCCTCATCAAAAACATGCCTGACGAGGGTTTAGATGTCATCCAAATTCAAACCCTCCTTACAGTCTACGTCTAAATCTACGTCACCCATGCTCCTACACGACAGTTCTCCATAAATATACAAAAACATGATCCAAAACAATACACTACAACTTCACAAACCGGATGTAGTTTCATTAGCTGTGTTGTGATGATGCTCTGAAGGGGGACTGGTTTAGCCCGGAAAGCAAAGAGAGGGGGAAGGAACTAAGGCGACGTTCAGACTGCAGCCTGAAGTGAGATCTGATTTTTTTTCACCCCTATGCGAACTGTAGCTGATCTTTTAATGACAGTCTGAATAACATAGATCCGATTTTTTTCAAAAGCCACCCAGGCCACTTGGATATGTGCTCCTAAAACCGATACATATCCGATCTTTTGACATGCGACTTCAGTCTGAACGGGCAGGTCACATTCATCCCACCTACATGTCAAACTCGGAGTCTAGTCTATGGAGAGAAAGCAAGGTTTGCGAGTTTATTAATAGTTGGGGAGATCGCTGTATTCAGGCCAAAATTGGAGGAGTCTTATCGGTTTTTAAAATGATTGCCAAAGAAATGTCCGGGCGCAGCTACAGTCGGTCCGGGCATCAATGTCAACAAAAAATAAAGAGAATGCAAGCGAAATACAAGGAGACTAAAGACTCAAACTAACTAACTGTGGACGTGTAACCTGTCCATTTTACGAAGAAGTGGACCGTATTTTGGGAGACAACCCCAAAGTTTAGGCGACTTCTGTAAACACTGAGCACGGTCGCTGTGTGACGTCGTCGTCGTGTCCTTTTGGGGCGTTTAAAGTTCACACTGGAGATCACATACAAGTCGCATTTAACTGGAAATGTGAACGACCTTGCAAAAAATCTGAATTGAGCATTAAGCCCTGCAGTCTGAACGTAGCCTAAGAGTCAAAAACAAACACAAGAAAAAACAAAACTTGCTAAAATATTGTTTTTTGGCAAATATAGCATTTTGAAAACAACAAAACGTAACCTGGTGATCTAAATAAGCCACGTCTTAGCAGTTAATACCTCTCAGAAGTGTAATACTCCCTCTTTAACAATGTCTAAACTACATTAAACCTGGGCTAAACCAAGTATATGACCAACATGTCTATATGACCTGCGCTCCACTTGTTGAAAACTACTAGGGATGTAATAATAACCAAAATATTGTGATATCGCATCGTCAAAAGTCTCACAATATATCGAATTACAAGTTCCTTTGCTTAAATGCATGGTTTTATAGTAGTAACAGATTATGAACATTGGGAACTACATATCCCATGATTCATTTCAGCATAGTCAACATGAAGAAATATGTTTTTTACTTGAATTATTGAGATTTTGACAGAAATAATTCACAGCAAATTCTTGTTAGGGTATTTTAAAAGCAAAAAAAGCATCCTGTCTGCAAATATATCAGCTTATTTCCAAAATATCGCAGTAAATATCGTACCAGGATAGGAATATCGTGATAATATCGCATCGAGAGATTTGGATATTGTTACATCCCTAAGAATTACCACCGTTTTCAATTTCAAATGCGTACAGTTTAAGACTTGAGACACCATGCTGCCTTTGACATTAACATATTACTGTAATAACAAGCTTTTCCATTGCCTTATATGGAAGAATGTAACTTAGCAGGTATTTGAGGCACTGTGTGTAAGACTATGGTGGGCCAGGAAATATTACATGAAAAAAGTACTTGGTTTAGGCCCTGTGCTGAGATTCATGCATTTTATAATATATACAAATGCCTTTTTAAAGATGTACTACATAACTCTTTTGTCTCGACGAATAGGTTAAGTTATGTTATTAGGTTCTTTTTTCAGACCAAGAGTTTGTTTTCATACAGTTTCGACTGCTCACACACCTGCGATACTGTCCTGAGGAAGTTGGAGTGCAGATGGCGCTGTCGTCCTGCCTCCACTGGTAGGAAAACAGCGTCAAAATCTGTTTGTCACAGCAAAATCCATGTCGTTTTTCAATATAAAACCAAAAATAAGCAAACGAAAAAAACAACTATTTTCTTCATTTGTCTCCAAAACCAAAATGAAACAACAGATAACGATTTTATTTTATTTTTTCAGTTTTTGATTTTGTGTTTATCCGTGTGACTTAAACTGCAATACCTGACTTTTGTGCTGCATATGGACTGAACCAGGACTGAAGCAGGTCGAGAACCGACCCGGGACTGAGGGCCCGGGACTGAGGGCCCGGGACTGAGGGCCCGGGACTGAGGGCCCGGGACTGAGGGCCCGGGACTGAGGACCCGGGACTGAGGACCCGGACTTGACACCGGGACCAAACCAGGACTGAAAACAGTTTAATCCTTATTTAATCCTGTTTTTGTCCTGGTTCTGTCCTGGTTCAGTCCGGCATCGCAGTTTAAGTCACATAAACGTGAAACGGTCATTATCCATTCAATTAATGAAGAAAACTGTTGTTTTTTCATTTTCTTATTTTTGGTTTTATATTGAAAAAAACTAATGACACACGGATTCAGCAACATCACGTGACCACTCTGAGGAAGACCACGAAACTATCGGGTATGAAAACAAACTCGGTCTGAAAAAAAACCAAAACCTAATAACAGATAGAGCAGGTTGATGTTTTGCCTGGGATGTTTCACAGTGTGGCATTAAACTTTATTATTATCTCCATGGAAACAAGCAGATGAGAGCTATTTCAGTTTATCCTGCGCACAGAAAGAATGCGTATTTTTGAGCACGAAAAACATTCGTAATTGAATAAGTGTCTGGATGGCTAATGTAACACTGTGGAACATTGCAGGCAATGGCGTAACATCGTCGTGGAACAAGGAAGCGACAGATCGTCCACTAGAAAAGTTGCATAGTGCAGTTTAAAAATACCGTAGGCTAAAAAGCGGATTTGAAAGTTTGAAAGTTGACGAAAATATCAAAACTGGTTATTCGTTTCCAATGGATTTCGCCAGTTAATCGGACTTGGATTTTCTCTTCTCAGACTTTACTTATTTACCATTGCTGCCTGTGTCTCTGTACTTTTGCGTTGTTATTTGCAGCTTTTGTGGATTCAAACATTCACTTTGAAATATACGCACAATTTCAAAACATGACCAAGAACGATTTGAGATTATTTCTTAACCAAAAAGTGATTTTCATATCGTCATCTTTGCCTGTATTGTCTTTGCCGTAAAATAATCACTATTTTTTTAAACGGTGAACTGCTGTAACCGTTTTTAATATCGTCTTATTTATTGTTCAATGTTACTGTCACATGCTGCCATCCACAAATATACAGTTTAAACAGTTTATGAAGGTCTATATAAAGCAAGCTATGCTCATTGTATATTTTCTGTTACCAACAGAACAGTGACAGAATCTCGTCTTACAACAAGGTGGCGCTGTCTTCACTCTGTGCAGCTGATATCACTGTGACTGCAGTAAAGGAGACTTTGAGAAAACTGGTGAAATGAAAAGCAAAATAAAACTTGTATTTATCTCAATGCAGACTTTTATTTTGAAAAATTATTTCTTAAAGGTACAGTGTGAGCATAAAAAGTGCACTTTACCACTTCAGATTAAAAAAATTACTTACTTACTGTTGGATACATGGTGTATGTGAATGCAGATAAACAGCAAGCCCAAAGTCCTCTAGACGGCTAACAATTCTTTACAATTGTGGTGTGAAAAGCTCGAGTCAAACTGGAAAACTAAAATTGCACTCGGCCAACCTGCCACTCCCTCAGGATGTTGGATGTCCCTTGTCTCTGTTCCTGTGGCTTCAGGCTGTATTTGTTATCAAGCAAATATGTCACCACACACTGGACGCACTGATGCACTTCATTGCCATGGCAACGTCATGCAAAACACAACTTTGACAACCAAACTTTTTGATCGGGATGACCTGAAGAGTCACTGCTAAATTTCACAATCTTCAATGAAACTAATAAATTATTTTCTTTCCTTCACTCATGTAGAGCGTCAAAAAAGGTTGGATCATATTTTCAGAAATCTACGCTCAGACTTGACCGTGTTTAAACTCGGTTTTGTCTCAGTCTTGAAGGCGCTTGGAATCGCTCATGTTTCGGACTCGAGGTCTGACACTTGTCGAGTGTGATCATATTTCATTGTGGCCGCTGCTGCCGGCAATAAATTTGTACTGGTGTGCAGGAGCACATGGGGCTTCTTTCTGCTGTGTGCTTGTCTGGATCCCGCGGACACTGCGCGGCGCCAGTGGGGCACCAGTGGCAAAAAAAATGTCATTGTGTCCTTAGGAAAGACACTTCACCCACATTGCCTAGTATGAAAGTGGTGTGTGCATGAGTGATGGTGGTGGTCGGAGGGGCCGATGGCGCAGATTGGCAGCCTCGCTTCTGTCAGTCTGCCCCATGGCAGCTGTGGCTACATTATTAGCTTACCACCACTGAGTGTGGAATGACTGAATAATGAACTGTGAAGTACTTTGGGTATCTTAAAAGGCACTATATAAATGGAATCAATCAATCAATCAGTGGCATGCACAGACATTTGGGGGGGGCAGGTGCTCAGTGAAAAATAAGGGCACTTTGTACACACGTGGAACTGCCAACTGCCTTATTAGAGAAGTGTGAGATAAAAATTAAAAAAAAAGAGAAAATTCAGGCACATGCTGAATGCATGAGCATCCTTCTCCTCAGTGCCATGTCTTAAAGATTCTGATGACCTCACTATGATTTATATTTTTAGATGATTTTTTAGCTTTGTGCTCTTTTCCTGGATGAAAACAAAGCCAAATGAAGATGAAAGGTCAGAGTCAAGACCAGAGTCATGTTCACTGTTCCTCTAATTTTATTGAAATATCTTAAAAGCCGTCCACATTTTATTTTTAATTACACAAAGTGGTTTTATATTTTGTTAAATAAAAACAAATTAAAATTGTAACTTGTAAACTCTGTGGATTTGTGACAAACCATGATAATGAGCTATTTGCATCAACCTGCTCTTTATTTTACACACCTGTATCCTTCTTTATGAGTTCTGTATGAGTGGGAAAGCAGCAGGTTACTCATGTTACCCATAACCCAATCCTCTAGCCACCTAGCAATGCAAAAATAATTTACATTATTTGTTATTGGAGAAATATCATAATTATTATTAGAATGATAAGTTTACCCAAAGAAACCACAGCAGGTTAAATTTGACCAGATATACACTGGCCCATTTGTAAAGTGGACCACTGGCAAAATATTTTATAATAAAATTAGGGCTGGGCAAAAATAATTTTTTTTAATCGTGATTAATCGCATGAGTTCGAGCGATTAATCGCGATTAATCGCATGTTATACGCAAAACCAATTAATGAATTAAAAAGTAGAGCATAGCACTGTTTATTACCTCCGCCAAGGAGGTTATGTTTTTGCCGGCGTTTGTCTGTTTGTCTGTTTGTTTGTTTGTTTGTTTGTTTGTCTGTTAGCAACATAACTCAAAAAGTTATCGACCGATTTTGATGAAATTGGATTTGTTGGAAATGTGAAAAGGAAGAACTGATTTCATTTTGGGAGTGATCCGGAAGAAATTCTGGATTCTGGATCACTTTGAAATTTTAGTTAACATTGTGGTAAATGGGGCCAAAAATTTTGTTTGTCAATATCTCGGTTAATTATTGACCAAACCCCATGAAATTTGACTCAGGGATGGACAATGGGATCCTCTTTCATATTCTAAATTGAAAGATACGAGACAAATATTTATGGAAAACACAATTAATATGAGGGGGACTGTAGTCCTTGGCGGAGGTCTGCGCTCTCTGAGTGCTTTTCTAGTTGGAAATGTAAATGAAAGAGCCACACATTTGTTGTGCAAACAGCAATTCTTTCACAGGGGAACCCTCAGAGTCTTCAAGGTATTCAGGGAAGGCTCAAGAAAAAATATTGAATGGTCCGTTTTGTTTTTCAGTGTGTGAAATGAATGGTAAGGAGGCGACCGGAGCGAGTGCCATGTTATTTAGTGCAGTACGGCAAATAAAACCACGAGTCTTGAGCGAAGACCTGACTTGTTTATTGAGCCCACGCACTCACTGGAGGTTCCGAACACGGGAGTTAAACTCCAAGGGACGAGCGGCTGCTGCGACCCTTTGGCCCTGGAGACCAAGACGGTTCTCCCCTGTGTCCTCTGACCACGGTCCGAGGACCGAGACAGGAACGGTTTAACAGTACTCCGGCTCGCGGAGGCTCGGGCAAGATGCATCTCACGTGTTCAGAAAAAAGTGAAAAAAGTGTAAAGAAAATACGTCAAACTTAAAGAAACGCTCGGGGAGGACTTTTTCAAAATAAAAGCCAGTGAGAAACAGACGTTTACAATAAAATAAATAATAAAAACTGCGTTAACTAGTTAACACAAAGTTAACGCGTTAACGTGCCCGGCCCTAAATAAAATTATCAAAAGTAAGGTGCATGTCATTTTTGCGTGTCATGGTTAGACTAAGGTTCAATGTAAGTCACAGACATGCATAGATTTAAAATAAAAAAGGATCAAACTTGACTGTACCTCCTTACACACTGTTCCATTTTACCCACTGTTCCTGTCAGTAAAGTCCATTCTCTGAAATCATGTGACCATGGACAACACCCTCTCACTGTTCAAAATAAAATCTGCATCACCCTGAAAACTCAAGCTGCATCTGCACGCACACAGCAAAGGTAAGAACTGCTCCAAATTACTCTTTAAAATGTTATTTTTCAGGCTAAATAAACTGGGTGAGTATAAGAGTAGATTTTGATGAATTATTAAAATATATGTACTGTACTTCATATTTCTACCCTATAGCCAAATACAAAATTCACCGATGTGCATCATTTTAGGGATAAAATATCTGCTCAGTGTCAATAAGGATAAATACTTTATATATATATATATATATATATATATATATATATATATATATATATATATATATATATATATATATATATATATATATATATATTGTTATTTGCCATACTATGGTGATTTCTTGTGATTTGTGGTGAATTATGTGGTTTAAAATAGCAAAAGGTCCCAGTATTTGCCGATATGATGCAAAGAGATAAGAGGAGAGGCTGTCGTCCACAGCGCGGCCACATAGATACACACTGCACAGGACACGTTCATTCAACGTGCTCCTCACAGTTTCTCCATTAACTCACTCCAGGCAGGCATTGCAGATTTGCAACAGCTAAATGCCAATTCCCTACTTACTCCACATCCATATTTTATGAGCCTTTTTTCCCATCCATGCTGATAAACGTGGACGATGCTGACCGTGCAAGAATGGCTACCTGCAAACGTCCTGCCAGAAGTGCAAAATACTTTTGTGCTTTACAAAGGATAAAAATTGTTTCTTGGAGTACCACACGAAAAAGTGATGTTGTTCTGTCACTGTAAAGATGTTACACTGTGCTTTTTGTTTTCATTGTTATGAAAAGTGATATACAAATAAAGTTAGCATTCATATCATTTTCAGTCTTCAATGTTAATTTACCACACCGGACCAACGCTGCAAATCTGCAACATCCCAGAATGCATTGGATGTGAAGGTCTCTCAAAAAAAGTCAGGATTGTATATTACTACCCCATATGATCATTTTCCCCAAATATCAGATTTTTCCTGTTACTAAAACTTAATTTGAGCCTGAGAGGGTTAAAAGTGATCAAATACCTTATATAAGAACTTTTTTTTAAAAAAGGATTTATTTATTTATTCTTATTGAATATGAGCAGATTTTTTTAATCTCTAAAATGACTGGTGCCTCACTTGTCTTCCCTGACCATACGTCGCTTGACTAAATTTACTAGAGAAGTAGCATTCCAACAGCCTTGTTCTTGCATGTCGCCTGTTTCCTTATCACTGTAATGCGGGCCAAGACACTGAAACATAGTTCAACCCAACAAGATGTCGGCAGAATTCAGTCAAAACAGGATCAGCTCTAATATGATATTACAGAAAGCACTAAATGGATTTGGATAGGGAAGGTACCTGGTAGTAAAACAAAACGTACAAACAAAAAGGGAAAAGATAATTAATCTGCTTGCACAAGTGCTTCAGAAAACATAGGTTTTACCCCAGAGCAGACTAACTAAACCAAAACAAACAGAGCATTACAAGATTGACAGTAAGGGAAATGTTTTCTTTACACTCAAGCTTATCCTGTGTCCAGTGGGAGAAAGACGTGATGTCAGTCTGTGGTGTGTGGGGAAACAGGAGAATGCATCACAAAGTTTGCTGTAGATTTATTCAGTGCAACCATAGACTGTATGAAGTGGTTATAGGGGCAAATTTGGAGCCAAGCATGATATTAGGACTAGGAAGTTATTTATGAGCAAAATAAAAACCCCAGGATGATGCAGAGCGGGTTAATACGAACACTGCAAGACCAAAATTACGCACTCACTGCAGCACTTACAGAAAGAGGGGTGACAATATTCCAATGTTAAGTCAATTGTAGCCAGGGTCAGAAGAAGCCCGAAGCAACCCCATGAACACTTCCTATTTCGAACATGGCGGTTAGCTATGTCCATTTATATACAGTCTGTGAGTGCAACACTTCAAATGAATGATTGATCTGTTCTGTCACTGGGACTCTGTGTGATCTGAGGCCGCCTACCTGCTGGTGCAGAGTCCAACATTTTAAGCTTACTACATCTCACCAGCTGTAAATCTCACTGCATGTCACTGTCTGCAGGCTCATATTATTTTTTTCCTATCACAAATATACTTTGAAGTTGAATGTGATCAAGCTCTAACTAAGTGTTCCTCATCCACAGATCTCATTCAAAACGAAGAAGAAGTAAAATACAAATCATCTTTGTGCTTTTACCGTAAACAATATGGCATTTTTATGCAAAATTCCTATTTTCTTTGCGGGGAAAAAGTTTCAAGAACATCTTGCAGAAGCCAATAAAATAGATGATGGGCCACCTGCTCGTTATAAACTGGAAACAGAATGCACTGATTTGGACAATCAACCAGATGAAGAATCTAAACTCAAGAGATTCACATTTGGAAAACGTGACCCTAAACTCCAAAACCGAACCGTCCTTCTGGTCGGAGCAACTGGAACTGGAAAATCCACTCTGATCAACGCCTTGGTGAACTTTGTGATGGGAGTGACGTTTGATGACCGGGTTTGGTTTGAGATTACTGAAGATGGAAAAGATCAGAAATCTCAGTCTCACAGTCAGACGACTGCAGTGTCGATGTATGAAGTGTTTGGATTTGAAAAAGTAGTTGTTCCTTATTCTCTGACCATCATCGACACTCCGGGATACGGAGACACACGAGGAATAGAATATGATGATATTATCACCAAGAAACTGCAGGATTTGTTCTGTGGCCCTGAAGGTGTGGATACCATCGATGCTGTTGGTTTGGTGCTGAAAGCAACTGAGAACAGACTGGATGAGAGAATGATCTACATCTTTAACTCTGTCACTTCTATCTTCGGAAAAAACATGGAGACCAATATCGTGGCCATGATGACTCACTCAGACGGTAGGAGACCCACAAATGCTCTACAAGCTCTAGACGAGGCAAACATTAAATATGCCAAAAATGAAAACAATGCAACCAATCTATTTCCTGTTCAACAACTGTCAAAATAATAGTTATGAAAGGAGGAAAGATGATGAAAGAGCCGCACGGTATGCCTATGAAACATCAGAGAGAGGTCTGGCAAAATTCACAAAATTTGTCGGTCAGTGTTTCCCTCAATCCCTGAAGACAACAGTAATAGTCATGAAAGAAAGAATCCGACTAAATGCCTGCATCCAAAATTTAGAAGGAACGGATCATTGATATTGAGAAAAAACAGAAGGTGATAAAAAACATCAAAGAAGAACTGTCAGAATATGAAAATGAGATAATGAACAACCAAGACTTCATCATCAGTGTAGAAGAAACCTACAAAGAGAGAGAGGACAATACCCACTGGTCGGATTACTGCCTTGAATGTCAAGAAACCTGCCATTACCCAGAATGCACTTGGGCCATAAACACATCTTGGTGTTATGTCTTGTACCAATAAATGCCCAACAAAAGATCACGTGAGAGAAAACTGGAGATATGTGACCAAGACCAGGTGCCTCATTTATAAAAACTGCGCAGGAGTTGTCGTAAGTTAGTGCGTACGCCTAGTAGCTACGACAGGCGTGCGCCACGCAAACTCCATATTTAGAAAACCCACCGCACGCACCAAACCACGCAATCTTTGCTTTATAAATCCCACCTGCAACTACAATTTGCGCACGTAAACCTACGTCACGTCACGCCCTCTCCACACCTCCACCTCACCATAAAAGGAGCATGTAAAGTGACTCGTGAATGAGCTTTCCCTAAACATGAGCCGATAATCAGTGGGTTTGACCGAGACACGCGGGACAGAGGGAGGAGGACGCTCCACGCAGCACCACGTGATCACGACACTTTATTAAAGACTTTATTAAACCTTGTTTAATAAATAAATACAAAACTAAAAGTGACAACAATGACTCATCTGTTCATTTAATCATTTTTTATAATATTTAGGCAGCACATCTTTGCAGTAAAGCCCATGTGTTTTTTCGCTGTTTCAAGAGTTTTATCGCTATATTTTTAAGTCTGCCTATGAAGTGTGTGAGGACTGGCCCTGTATTTATGCATATACACGTAGATACGTGCACGCGCAAATTATGAGCGCGTGCGAGAGATTCAGATGCCCTCCTCTGGAGAGGGAAAGGAGCGAGGGGGGGACACGAGGATACGAGGACACAGATTTAGCACGAAACACATCAGATACAGATGTTATTCTTCCAATTAAAGTCCACACGAAACATCCAAACTGCTGAACCTGTGAGTGTGGGTCTGGGTCGGGACGGGCACGGGCCTTATTCTGTTCTTCATACAGTCAGAGAGCAGCGCTCATGTACAAGAGTTCCCCATTACACAAAAATGTACGGAAGATTTTGGTTCGGGTCAGGTTCGGGCAGTAGGCTTCGTGTTGTCCGCAGACTCAGGTCACTCTGCCGCTCGGTGCGTAAAGACTAAAGTAAAAGTGTTAAAGTTGCGTTCATTAAATCAAAGCCTGGCTCCTGCTGCGTCCAAGGGAAGAGTTTTCTCTCAGGTCGGGTCATTATTTCGTCCTCTGTGTCGGTCACAGTCTGTGTTCTATAGAAGTCTGTGGTCGCGGTGTGGACTGTGGGACTCTGCGCTACACCGAGTCCGGGAACGTGGCCGCGCTCGTGCACGAGTGTCAAATGTATAATATTGTGGAGAATAATGAGTGGAATAAACAGCCCTTCTCCGTATTTTGGCGAACCAAACACTTAGATGCGCAAATCAGAAGGTAATTCTTCTATATACGTGGATTTTCTGATCAAACACTTCCTCAAACTCTGTTCACTTCTGCTTCTCTCCACGAGTGTCGCTTTTTCCCCGTGTCTCCAGACTTTGCGTAGAACTTACAGGAGGTCCCGAGTTGGCGTAGAGTTAAGCAAAAAGCCACGCCTTAGGCGAGTTTAATAAATACCGCGGTTGGCGTAGGAAGCGCGGATTTTTGCGTAAGCAAGCTTTATAAATGAGGCCCCAGAACCGTAAAAAAACAAAAAAACAAAGAAGAAATGAAAAAGAAGTACGACGAGAACAAGGCAAAGAGTACAGAGAAGACCATTCTTTTGGAAGAAATGGAGAAGGAAATGTCTGACCTTCAACAAAAGAAACACCAGGGGCCTCATTTATAAAGCTTGCTTACGCAAAAATCCATGCGTGCAACCGCGGTATTTATAAAACTCGCCTGGGTTTTCTAAATATGGAGTTTGCGTGGCGCACGCCTGTCGTAGCTACTAGGCGTACGCACTAACTTACGACAACTCCTGCGCAGTTTTTATAAATGAGGCCCCAGATTCTGGACGATGCGTTCAGCATAAGTGAACAGCTCGAGAAGTTTGCCCTGAACATAGATTCAGCTTTGACCTTTATCCATCTGGACTTCTTGATTGAGAAGATGACGGAGAAGGAAGACACAGAGAAGGTCCAGAAACTGAAGACAATGAAAGATCAAATAAACGAGAGTACAAAAGCTGGGGGCAGCATGAAGTCAGTTTCAGCTTTGAAATCAATTGCTCAGATTTAATAGATATGACTTCCATTTATGGCCTCCATAATATGCTTTATTTCATTAATTAAAAAAGTTATAACATGTACAATATGAATGCTAAGGTGTGCAATGTATATGCATGAGAAACAATTATAAGATGTTAACATATAGGAAATGCATGGTGATGAAGCTGCATGTACTAATGTAAGACCTTCAAGACACATTTACAAGTGTTTTCATTTGCTTATTCATTTACTTGGGACACTTATATTGTATTTACTGTTATTCCATTAATTAAAGAAACAATGTTGATACCTTTATGATCCATTTGCCCTCTTAGGTCTGCATCCAAATGTTTTAATTCTTCAATAAAACTATAGTGAAACCACCCTTCAAGTTTTTTTTTTTTTTTTTTTTTTTTTTTTGTCATATCCCATAGCCACAAAATTTTACGACACAATAGGGCAGAAAGTGTAACAAAGCAACTATAGAAATACAATAACAGAGCTATTACAGTATGATGACAAATACTTAATTTAGTCATTTGTATAATTTCATATAACCGCGCTGAACTTGGCCGTGCAAAAGCCCAGCTTTACTGGTCAGGAAACCTCGGCTCAAGGACAGCGAGTCACATTAGCATCTAAAAGTTAGTTTCTGCCACGACATGTGCAAAAGTCCATTACTGTGTAAAAACTCATACACTGAACACAATATTAGCTCATAAATGTTCCAAATGACATAAATAAGATGTACAATTATGTTCTGATCATATAGTGAATAATTAAACAGAAATACACAATTTATACCGACAGAGCTAAACTCAGTGACCCACCTCGTGTCCGTCTCTCATGAACTGTAGTGAACGATCCGGCTCTTAGAGCCGGTTCTTTGAAGTGAACGACGGGAACGATTTAGTTTTTTTTTTTTTTTTTAGAGGGCCTTTCTAGTTTTTCCTCCGCTTTTTTGTGAAAACCGTACGTGATTGGTCAAGATGCGTAGCGGCATCTGTGAGTCCACTGAGCAGAAGAGGAGAGAGTTTATAAACACACACAGCGCGAGCGCAACACACACACACGACACGTGGAAGACAAAGAGACACAGAGACAGAAAGAGACAGAGACAGAAAGAGAGGGAGACAGAAAGAGACAGAGACAGAAAGAGAGGGAGAGAGAGAGACAAAGAGAGGGAGAGGGGGAGAGAGAGAGAGCGAGAGAGGGAGACGAACAGTGAGAAAATGAGTGACACCAAAACAGTAAAAGTTGGACACATTTCAAAGCAATATGCAGTTGAAAGGCAGAGTGTAGATTGTGAAGGTGAAAATATCATATCGAGCAGACTCCACAAATAACTTACACAGACACATGAGAACTGTTCATCCATCAGCGCAATTGGAAGAAATAAGAGAAACAAAGGAACCTGCTGTTAATGAAGGTGCCAGTGTGTCAACTACAACTGCTGCTGCTGCAGTGTCTTCTCCCGCTGCATTGGTAATTAATTTTACTCACAGTTTTGCATAGTTTTTTTGGTGATAAATTAATTTAAGAAGCAGAAAATCTGAGGAGCCATTTGGGAGCCGAAAGAGCCGGATCTCCAAAAAGAGGCCCTTATTACTATCGGTCATCACAAGAGGGCGCCACTCAACCAAACTGCAATAAAAGTAATGACAAGTGGAATCAAATACCATGTAATCGCTGTTACATACATCAACACATAAAACACATTCACAGCACAATAGAAAAACAGCAACGGAGCAGATCCGGCACAGAACCATGCGCTGAACGAAATCAACGCGAACACAGGCTGCAAAAGACTGGAGCTTGGATGTGTGAAAAGCTCACATAAACGCCCACAAAGAATGTCTAAATTTTAAATGCATTTAATGACAATTTACACATCCCATATATTTGTAAGTTATTACAGGCTACAGATCGCCAAATCCAGATATTTTTATTTGTGTTGCTATTTTGTATAATGAATAGTTTGAGTTATGATTAAAAAATAATTATAAAGTGCTATCATTAAGATGTACCAGATGTTAGGTTACAAATGTCCTCAGTCTTGGCAGCACTGTACAGCTTCATGACTCTGGAAGTATTTAGAAGCTGTAGTAGGATGATTTTGTCCAAACCTGGCAACCCAGTGGAAGGACACGCCCCTCTGAGCGCGAGCTGATGTTGCGCTCGTCTAAAGTCAAGCGGCACAAAATACAGCGGCCAACACTCGTTTCAGAATAAAACTGAAAATGTTTCGTATTTAAACCACATGTGACCCAGTGGTTTATAATGCACTAAACTAAAAGTACACGCTGACCTGTGGTGGAATGTAAAGTAGTTTCCACGAAGATGTTATTTGTCTGAAGTGTTTCACAGTACGGCATTAACCATTTATCTTCATGGAGACCAAAACTGACCAAGTTACAGGTCAGATCTGTGGAGAGGCGACACTGCTCACAGTCAGAATGCCTGTTTTTCTAGGTATAAAACCACCTGTAATTGAATAAATATAAGGTAGAGGTGTTTAATGTCACACTGTGGAACATTCCAGGCAGAGCAATGACAGCTATAGAATCAAGGACGTGACTGAAAAGTTACACAGTGCACCTTTAAAGCTCACATGAGTCAGTTTTGCCTAATATATGACCTTTAAATGCCCCACTGAAGCACCTGCCTGTGGCCTTGCTCTTCGAACATGTTTAGATTTGTGGTTCTTGCTTTAGGGTGACCAGATTTCAAAAACTGGGGCTGGTAATAATAAAACTGTGAAACAAGTACGTAATTTAGAAAAAATGTGATGCACTCCACCCATTCATGATTTATTCAAGACTAAATGTGAGTTAGTAGTCACATTTTCTTTGAGTTTTGGTCTTTTTTATGCAGCTTTTCTGTATTTTACCTAAAAAAAAAAAAAAAAAAAAAAGACAATTATGCCTCTCTTTACTGTTCAAATTGGTCAAAAATAGGGACATTTCTAGTATAAAACTGGGACAAATCAATAGTTTTGGATCAATCTACTGGAACAGAGGGGACGAGGCTCAAAACTGTAAAGAGGGGTAAAGAGGGACGTCTGGTCACCCTAGATCAGATGTGTCAAACATACGGCCCGGGGGCCAGATCCGGCCCTCCAAGACCTTTAATCTGGCCCTCGGCTGATTTTCTACTAAAATATTTTAATTATATTTTAAAACCTAAAGACAGAATTTGCAATTTTTCGCACACCATTCACAGTCAAAACCTCTGATGTGCCCACAGACATGCAACTAGAAATAATAGATTTACAGTTACTACCTTTGTGAGCAGGTTTTCTCAGTGATGAACATTAATAAAACAAAGCTGCGCTCAAAGCTAAACACACAAGCACATTAACGACATTCTGAAGATCTCAGCTACTCAGGACATGCTGCCTGATATTGATGCACTTGTGCAGGCTAAAAGATGCCATGTTTCAGGAGAAAAATGAAAGCATAACTAAATTCTATGAAATGCAATGTTTGAAAGTTAATGTTTTGAATCAATCAACGTGACAGAAAAGTTACACAGTGCACCTTTAAAGCCCACATGAGTCAATTTTGCCTAATATATGACCTTTAAATGCCCCACTGAAGCACTCACTGTATTGATTATATTGTGTTGAAATTGTGTTTGGTTGTTCATAATATTATAATATTTTGTAAAAGAAAGAGTTCATCAATTAAAAAAGATTTCTGTAATAGATTTGCGTTTTTCTGCACAAATATTTGAACTTACTACTATTTTGGGGGTATATATGCCATGAGTTTTCTGATCCGGCCCCTTTGGGATCAAAGTAGGTTGGATGCGGCCCCCGGACCAAAATGAGTTTGATACCCCTGCCCTAGACTAACATAACTAAAAAACATTTGGACACCCCATCTAGTGTCGAGCAAACATTTTATTTTGATCGTAGAACGGATATAGCTCGTGTGTTTCCTGCTAAGCTTCGGTCCTGATCGGGAAAACCCGGAGAGGTGTGACCCTTCCCCATGATCCGTGTGAACCTCCACGGTCTGAGGGGGCGACAGCAGCGGGCCAGACCGGGCACAGAGCGTGGCGCACGGGGAGAGGTGTGTCCGAGAGGCCGCTGTGTGACTGGAGCTCCGATAATCCAAACCGAAGGAAACATGGCAAAAACCTACGATTATTTGTTCAAGTTGCTGCTGATTGGAGACAGCGGCGTCGGAAAAACGTGCCTCCTCTTCAGATTCAGCGAAGACGCGTTCAACACAACCTTTATATCCACTATCGGTAAGAAAATACGCACTGACATTTGGCGCTGGTCCATGGCGTTGACCTGTTCTAGTCCTGGTTTAGTCCTGGTTTAGTCTTGGTTTAGTATTGTCTGGAATAGATCTGGTCTAGTCATGGTTTAGTTCTGAAAGCCTTTTTGGTGCACTTGAGAATTTGGTATTTGTCCGTTTTGTTTAGACTTGGTTTGGTTTGGTCTTGTCTTGAATGGATGTGGGTTAGTCCTGGTTTAGTCCTGGTTTAGTTTTTTGTAAAGTGTAGTCTGGTATGGGTCTTGTTAGTTCTGGGTTAGTCTTGGTTTAGCCCTGAGTTAGTTCTGGGTTAGTTCTGGTTTAGTATAGTCTGGTATGGGTCTCGTTTAGTCCTGGTTTGTTTAGATTTGGTAAAGTGTAGTCTGATATGGATCTTGTTTAGTGCCGGGTTAGTCCTGGGTTAGTTCTGGTTTAGTATAGTCTGGTATGAGGTTTTGTTTAGTCCTGGGTTAGTCCTGGGTTAGTCCTGGGTTAGTCCTGGGTTAGTATAGTCTGGTATGGGTCTTGTTTAGTCCTGGTTTAGTGTTGGTCTAGTCCTGGGTTAGTTCTGGTTTAGAATAGTCTGGTATGGGTCTTGTTTAGTCTTGGGTTAGTCCTGGTTTAGTTCTAGTATAGACATAGTTTGGTCCCGAGTGGATCTGGCCTAGTCCTGGCCTAGTCCTGGCCTAGTCCTGGCCTAGTCCTGGCCTAGTCCTGGCCTAGTCCTGGCCTAGTAAAATCTGGAATGGACCTGGTTTAGCCCTGGTTTACTTCTGATAGTCTATTTAGTGTACTTTAAAACTTCATATGTGTCCATTTGTTTACACTTGGTTTGGAATAGTCCCGGTTTAGTCCTGGTTTAGACCTGGTTTAGACCTGGTGTGATATTGTATTTTAATAGATTTGAGTAGCCTATTATACACTCAAATTGTGAATTTAAGCATAGTTCTGATCTTGTCATGGTTAAATTGTGATCCTGTTGAAGACCTTGTTCAGTAGGTTGATATTTCTAGTCTTGATTTAGTCTGGTTTATTTCAGAATTATACTCGTCTTAGAACGAATAAAACTGGTTTATTTTATTTTTTTCGGTTATAGATTAGGCTTGGTTCAGTCTCTGTTTAGTCTTGGTTTAGTCCTAGTATAGTCCTAGTTTAATTTTGGCTTGGTCAAGGTTCAGTCTTGGTTTAGTCCTGGCTCTGTTTTGGTTTGGTCCAGGTTCAGTCCTGGATTGGTCTTGTTTTGGTCCTGGTATAGTCCTAGTTTAATTTTGGTTTAGTCTAGGTTCAGTCTTGGTTTACTCCAGTTTCAGTCATGGTTTAATCCTGGTTAAATCCTTGTTCAGTATTGGATTAGTCTTGGATTAGTCCTGGTTCAGTCCTGTTTTAGTCCTGATTTAGTTTTGGATCTATACATTTAATCACTGACACCTGCACTGCTGATTTAGCCATTTAAGGAAATACAAGAGTGAATACAATTTTGAGAAGGAACAAACTGACTCCTAATTCTGTTCTCTCTATTGTGTTTAAAAATGTCAGCGTTACAACAAAATGCAACTATTTCTTCCTTGTTGTGGAGAAACCCAACCTACAAATCTCTCAATTGTATTCTGTCCAACCACTGTCTTAACAATAATTACTGCAATGTAAATATGAACCTATTACTGTATTTTCCGGGCTATTAGGCACTCTGGATTATAAGGCACACTGTCATTAAATGGTCTATTTGGAACTTTTTTCACAAATAAACCGCACCGGACTTTAAACGAAACACAACAGTTGGATGGGTCAGTGGGACTTTGTTTGTGGCGTTCACGGTGACTCTGGGCTTTGTTCAGTTGTGGCGTGTAGGGAGGGTGCTGTCTGGGACCGCTACATTGTCGGCGTGTTCGCAGTGACTCAGTTGTTCAGTTGTGTCTAGAAGTGGCACATTGCACTCGCTTTTTCAGTTCGTTCCTCCGTTCCGTTCCTCATCGATGTGGAGTGATGAGTGTGTCTGTTTTTCGCTGTGCGGTCACTGTCTGCTCCGTGTGTGTTTGCGTGGTCTGCGGGTGGTGCGCCTTTGTAGTTTACTGAAGTCGTGCTGGGACACCCAAGTGGATTCGTGTATAGGGCGCTCTGGATTGCGGGGCGCGCGATCGTTTTTTGATGGGGTTAGAGGCTTAAGAGCGCGTCTAATAGCCCGGAAAATACGGTAGATGATGCTCAAAGCCAGGAGACATCTGACCTGAGTGAAAGATGCTGTAGACTGTAGCCATAAAAATAAACAACTCTTTAAAGGTCCCATATTACACAAAATGGACTCCTGGGTCAGTCCACCTCAGTTCACCCAATGACTTACCGTATTTTCCGGGCTATAGGACGCGCTCTTAAGCCTCCAACCCCATCAAAAAAACGACCACACGCCACAATCCAGAGCGCCCTATACGCGAATCCCGTACCCGAATACCCGAATTGGTGAACTACAAAGCCGCACCACCCGCAGAGCATGCAAACACACACGGAGCAGACAGCGACCGCACAGCGAAAAACACCCGCAGACACACTCATCACTCCACGCGGACGACGAATGGAACGGAGGAACGAACGGAAAAAGCGAGTGCAGTGTGCCACTTCTAGACACAACTAAACAACTGAGTCACTGCGAACACGCCGACAATCCAGCGGCCCCAGACAGCACCCTCCCTACACGCCACAACTGAACAAAGCCCAGAGTCACTGTGAACGAGTCAAACAAAGTCCCACTGACCCATCCAACTGTTGTTTTTCATTTAAAGTCCCGTGCCTTTTTTGAAAAAAGTTTGAAAATAGACCGTTCTATGTCTGTACGCCTTATAATCCAGAGTGCCTAATAGTGTGGAAAATACGGTAAACCCTACTTTGTCAAATTTTGATCAAACTTGGTAAATAGGTAAATCATAGCCAGAAAAGTCAAAATTTTAAAATATAGCATGATCGTAGTAACAGTTTCCGAGATATCACAATGTCATTTTTTCAGATTTGGATTCTTTATGATGTTCGCTTTCCAGAAACACCTTGATTTTTGATATCGAACCAGTAGTTGCTGAGTGAATATGAATATGAAATTCGGTGACCACGCGAAAAAGTGAAAAAATGAAATTGCGATACCTCGGAAATCGTTGGTCCAATTATGCTAAAGTTTGAGATTTTGGCTTTTTTAGGGGGGTATGACTTACCCATACACCAATTTCCTTTGCAACTGGACAATGTGAGCATTCAGATTGCAATTTTTTTGAATAAATTGAGGTGGGATGAGCTTTAAGTCATGTTGTAATGTTGTTTCCTAATCAAAAACAAACCTGGAGCTGTGTTTGTTTCATTCACACACGTTTGAGTAACCCTTTGTTATTAGTCTGTCTACATCTCCAAAGTTTAAAATGCTCTGTTCCACCTTGTGATGTCATGAAGTGGCAGTTTTCACCTTAACATGATTGAAACCAAACACAACTCCAGGTCTGTTTGTGATGAGGATACAACATTATAACAAATCAGAAAACAGAGTAATATGAACTCTTTAATGTGTTTATTAGAAACACAGTCCAGTATTTTGAGAGGAAGTCAGAGGCTGCATTGGGCTGTGGTTTACTCTATTAGCTGGGACAGGAGAGAGAGGAGTAATTTGAGAGGGTTTCTTGACACTAGGGGGTCCAAAATGGAAGTTGGGTAAGTCACTACAAATTGAATCTAAACTAACGTCCTTTAAGCAGGACCTATGATCAAACTGGACCCTGAAAAATCAACAACAAACCCTCAAATTCACTAAACGCCTTGAAAAGAAGAAGAAAAGACACAAAAATGGGGGGAAAATCTGTTATTATGTAGACAGCCCAAGTTAAAGGTGTGATAAAATTCCATAGAAATAGAAAGTTAAATCCACAGTTTGGAATAAATATCGATATATCGTATTGTTTAATGCGATGATAAAGTATCAATATTGTGGTGTGCTGTATCGATATATCGCCAAGAGTATATTTTGGTGTATTTTACTAAATTATTTTGTCACAACACTACAGTTTTGTTGCTTGTTTAGTGGAAAGAAACTTGTTTATGCGACACATTTAACATTTTCACAGTTTTGATGATTAAAACTTTGTACAAGAAGTGGTTTAACAAAGACTTTTAGTGTCATGGCGACGATTTAGCCTTTACTTTTTATTGAACCGCATCGAATCAATTTGAAATATATCGTATCGAATCGAAAGTGCACTGTATCGAGGTATGTATCGTATCGGCGACTTCTGAGTGATACCCAGCATGAATGGAGATAGATTTTGTTTTATCCCGTACTGCGGAAGATTATGGCAAGAAGGAAACGAGCAGGAGGACACCCTCTTCCAGGCCAAGTAAGAGTCAGGTTTGTGGAGACGCAAGGCCGTTCACAGTAAGGCCACATGTTTCTCAGCAGAATTAAAAACAACCAAAATGGGCTGTAAAGTTACATAGTGGTACCCTGATTCATCAAGCGTTTTCACTTCGTAGAAACCGTCTGACCTCGCAGCATTAGGATTCGTTCGCTCGACGGTAGGCGGGTACATTTTTTAATTTAACCAATCGCTGCTATTTGGTCGTGACTTATGTAGTGCACCAAATCCCGTAGGAAGAAGGGCAATAACGTCTTTCCCCTTGATAAAATTCACCAAACATTCTCTTTGTTCCGGCTTTAAATCCTCGATCTCAGGAATCGTTGCCAACACAGAATGTTTGTCTTCATCTACATCCATCTCGACACTTTGTTTACTGTTGTGCTGTTCCACAAAATGGACCCAGACAGACGCTTGAGTTTGACGTCATGGCTTCACAGCTCTTCACTGATTGGCTGGTGTGCGGTCTACAACTTTCGGAGTTCTTGTAAACCATCTAGAGCAGGCATGTCCAAACTATGGCTCGGGGGCCAAATGCGGCCCTCAGACAAATTTTTCTTGGCCCTCGGGCTTCCAGGTGAATTGGCCCAAATGACCTTGCATCAATAAA